AGCTTCACTGACTTGCCTGCCTCTCTCCTGCAGGGCGGCCCAGTTCCTAATAGGCCACTAACCAGTCCCAGTCTGACCTGGGGGTTGGGGACCCCTGCCTTAGGTGATTCTTCCAGGCTAGCTTGAGAAATACTGCTGTTAGAGCGTAGGCTCCTTCCTGGGGGTGCAGCCTAGTCTTGACTACTGTATACAATTTCTTTGCTACAACTTAGAATACATCTACCATCCCAGTATTATAGTAATATATACTAATAAGTATAGTAATATTTAGACTATTGGTAACATGTTGTGAGCACTTCCGGTGTGTAAGGACCCATAGCCAAACACTGAATAGGTTGTTGAATCCTCATAACTTTCATCGATAGATACTATTACACTCATTTTGCAAACGAGGGTAAAGAGTCTGTACAAGGCTTTAGAGCTGGTAAGTGGTACACCCAGTATTGGAACCCAAGCAAACTGACTTCAGAGCCTGTGCTGTTAAACCACACTGTACTGGCTGTTGCAGATCAGACACTGAGCCGTGCTGATTGCGCAGTGCATTGTGGAGTAGTGTCCAGTTCACTATGAGTGTGAAGCAACAGATATGATAAGACATGAAACAGCAGCAGTAAGAGTCAGTGTGTAACCAGGAGTATTGCCTCATGAATATGTGGGAGGGTGTCAGAGTAGCCAGCACTTCTATTAAAAGAGTAAACAATCTCGAAGGGCCACAAAGTGATAAACTGGGTAACTGTCAGTGCTTCTCAACATTAGCACTTCGCAAAGTGTGGCCCTTATTCCTCTGGAAATCTCTCATGGGATCCTGAAGGTCAAACCTTTATATAGTATTTCTGAGAAGTTATCTTTTTCTCTCTGTTAACATTTGTATTGATGGTACCGCTGGTGCCTAAGCATGAATCAAGGCAGTGGCACCAAAGTGTGCTCATAGCCACTGTATTCTTCACCACCACACGCTCTATAGTTAGTTTTTTTTAAAAGCCAGTTTCACCTAAGAATGCCCTTAATGAAGTAGTAAAAAAAATATTCCTTTTATGAAATCTTGACACTAGATTGCACATCTTTTTAATGCTTTGTGTGATGTAATGGGGAGTACACACAAGGCACTTCTGCTGCGTAAGTACTATGGTTATTACAAGGAAAATTCTACCTGTAGGGTTATTTGAGTTACATGCTGACCTAGCATCTTTTTTCATGGATATCATTTTTACTTGTAAGAATAACTGACAAACTATGGTTATTCAGATTTGAATATTTACCAGATTTTGTTAAAATTAAAGAATTGATAATATTTGTTGCCGGTGATAAGATTTGTGCTTAACAGCTTCCTATTATTTGTTTGAGATGGGGTTTCGCTTTTGTTACCCAGGCTGGAGGACAGTGGTATGATCTTGGCTCACTGCAACCTCCGCCTCCTGGGTTTAAGCAGTTCTCCTGCCTCACCTCCTGAGTGGCTGGGATTACAGGCGCCCGCCACCACACTCGGCTAATTTTTTTATTTTTAGTAGAGACAGGGTTTCACCATGCTGGCCAGGCTGGTCTCAAACTCCCAACCTCAGGCGTCCCAAAGTTCTGGAATTAGAGGTGTGAGCCACCATGCCCAGCTCAAAAATTGTTTTGTTTTGTTTTATATTTGTCAATTTCTAATTGGGAAGTTGCAAAATGCCAGAAAACCGTTATTTCTGTTCATTTATTGTGCTATATGGGATCTCTTATGCTGAGAGGGTGTACTTTAAAAGTTATTAGTACAAGGATTAATCACTGATAGTCCCCTTGTCTCATGATTCTTGCACTTTATGGGGTCTAGTAATCCGTCCATATACTGAGAAGAAACTGTGGCTGGAGGGATACTGAGTTCCCTCTCCTCTTTCCTGCACACTAGAGGTAGGGCCAGGCAAGCCCTGCACGCTTCTTCCTTCCCTGCCCCTTGTGGAGGGTCGTCATGAAACAGTTACATGCAGGTGCTGAAAATCCTGACATGCTCTTAGGTCCAAATAGTGATCTTGAATGTCATAAATATAAGAATATTCTTACTGCACTGTTTTCTCTCACTTGAACAGGTTTTGAGTATAAGAAAACAAAATGCTCTGCTTTGGAAACACTTGGTGATGACTTATTTAAAAGAAGTAGGAATAACAGGAAGTTAGCTTCTGGTTGATCACCTTCGCAAAGTTCTGTAACTTAAAGATGCTTCCGTAGACTTTGGGGCGTTCATGCTCACTGAATTTTAGACAGGCCCAATTGGCAGCCATTTTTGCTTGAGTCTTTTAGAAAATCTTTTTAGTATTATTAAAATGGTTTCCTGTCTTAATAAAGTTTGCAAAATATATAATTTAACATGTATTTGGCTTTGATAGCACCTCAGGCTCTTGCCCATCACTTATTGTTTTAGTGATTTCTAGGTGTAGCTGTTGCAAAAGGAAGGTGGCCACACAGCACATAGCTACCATGATTTAAAAAGAAAAAAAACCTGTGGTGTCGGCTTACTTCTTCCATCGTATGTTGGCAGTACTAGATTTACTTGACATCGGACTGCTAGAGTGTAATTCGGCACATATCACCAAAACTTAGTTTCTTCAGCATTCTAAAATTGTTAGGGGGTGGACCATGTTTACCTCCCACTGAATGTGGAGACTTTTCCTGGTGCTTCATGGTGAACCCTTGCTTCTCTGAGCCTTCGTTTCCTCTGCCCACCTCACAGGAGGCTGCTATGTGTGTTACCACATTTAATCCTTGAAGAGCAGTCAGTAAAGGGCAGATTGATAACTTGCACGGTCATGAGCAGTTCAGTTCAAGTAGCTCAGGTTTGTTCTGTTTGGGGAACTGACTGTCACTATGAGGTTTTTTTCCCCCTTTGTGTGTGTGTGCGTGGTGGTGGTGGTTGTTTTCCTGCATTGGTTTTAGGGGTTTGTTTGTTTTTGCTATTTCAAATAAAAATTCACCACACCTGCTTTTGTAGTTTTTCTGAATTGCTGTGAAAATGTGAATTTTATCTAAAACTGGTTTTTAAGGTATGGTCTTTGGACTAGTAGCATCTGTATTGCCTGGAAACTTTTTAGAAATTTATGAATGCTTGGGTCTGCCCCAGATCTCCTGAACTGAAAACTGGGCTAGGGCCAACAATCTGTGTTTTACCAAATCCTCCAGGTGATTTGGGTGCACCATCAGCTTTGAGAACCACTGGTCTAGAAGATCCATGAATTTACATCATTTTGAACAAATGCTGCAACTTTCTTTCCATGTGCTTTGCTGTGTATCATATCTTCTTTGCTAACAGTCTTAAATGTATCTAAAAAGAATTAGGAAATATGATGGTTTGTTACAGCTTCTTGCTTTGCTACTATTGTGTACGTTTTTTTCTGTATTTATTTATTTATTTTTATTTTTTGCCACCCTGCCCCCCAGCCAAACAATCTACGGTATACATTTTTAAAAGTTACTAAGAACAGATTTTATGCTTAGCATCATGTTTGTTCATCTAACACTTGAATGAGTAAGTGCAATTCCTTTGGGCAGATAAAATGTCAGTGTACTTTATTTGCCTAACAGGAATTCTCTGCTTGTAGATGCAATATTGTCTTGTAGACTTATAAATCAAATCTTTACTGTATGCAGACATTTTCCTTCATTTGCTTGCGTTCCTCAGGAAAAAAAAGTGGATGAACAGGTAAGATGGTGGTAAAGAATATATCTTTAGGCCGGGCATGGTTGCTCACTCCTGTAATCCCAGCACTTTGGGAGGCCGAGGTGGACAGATCCTGACCTGAAGTCAGGAGTTCAAGACCAACCTGGCCAACATGGTGAAACCCCGTTTCCACTAAAAATACAAAAAACAATAGACGGACATGGTGGCAGGTGCCTATAATCCCAGCTACTCAGGAGGCTGAGGTGGGAGAATCGCTTGAACCCGAGAGGCAGTTGCAATGAGGTGAGAACACATCATTGCACTCCAACCTGGGTGATAAGAGTGAAACTCCATCTCAGAAGGGGGAAAAAAAAGTGTTCATATATATAAAGATATATTCTCTTAAAAAAGCTTTGTAAGAAAATGAGAAGCCAAAGGCCAGTGATTTATAGGCAGCCTGGTGGAGGAGAAGTGGTGTGTGGTTCTGTTACATGATCTCTAGGGCCATATGATCTCTGGTTTGAGTTCTGTCACTAACTATGACTATTGCTAAGCAATTAAGTTTTCTAGAGCTGCTTTCTCATTCATTAAATAGGAATGATAACACCTTGTAAGTACCAAAATGAGATACTATAGGTAAGTGTACTTCATAGAATTTTTAATCTGCTAAGTGTGTGGTGGCTGAATAATGATGCCTAAAAGATGTCCATGTCCTAATCTCTAGAACCTATGAATATAGGAAAGGAGACTGCAGATGCGTCAAATTCAGAATTTTGAGATGGGAGATTATCCTGGATTGTCTGCATTGGCCCAATATGATCACACGGGTCCTTGGAAGAGGGAGGCAGACCAGAGTGAGTGGGGGCAGATTTCATGATGGAAACAAGAGGTTGTAGTGACCGATGAAGGGAACGGGAGCCAAGGAATGCAGGTGGTCCTCTAGAAGATGAAAAAGGCAAAAGGCATTCTGCCCTCAGACACAACCAGCCCTGTAAAAGCCATTTCAGATTCATGACCTCCGGAACTGAGAATACACTTGTGTGAAGTCAGCCATAGGAAAGTAATATAGGGTATTACTCATATTTTAAAAGGGAAAGTTTTTGAGAAACCATAAAGTCCACTGTCAAAAGACCTAACATTCTTTCATTCTTTTTTACAGTATCAAGTCTGGAGTAGCAGCATTTGGCTTTTTTTTTTTGAGGCTGGTCCTGAACTCTTGGGTTCAACCAGTCCTCCCACTTCAGCCTCCCAAGTAGCTGTGCATGCATTTGGCTTTTTAGAGTTCCTACCAATGCAGCATAAACTTTTGTGATGTAAACATATCAAGAAGATTTCCTTTGGCCTTAACAGATGGCTCTAGAGACTTTGAGTAAGTATTTAGATTCAAAAGGGGCAGCAGAGAGGACTCATTAAACCTCTGGAACATCTTAGATGAGTGTGTCTGGAAAGCCCAATTTTATGGGAAGGGTTCTTGGAACCGAGTTTTCTTGGCAGCTCCTAGAGTTACCTTTTACCAACCATCCATTATATTTCTAAATCTAGCTGGTCCAACAAGTTGCTTTAGAGCAGTTTCTCCAAGCCTAATGTGTTTTATATTTGCACTCCAGAGGGTAGTATTTCAGAGCCTCTCAGGTGCAAACTTGGGGTTTTCCATGATCCGGTGACTCAGCTGAGGAAAGCGTCTGACCAGTGACTGCCTGTTTATATATATATACTTTGTTAGGAATGGTTATTTTTACTGAGTCCTTGTCAACTTCCTGTCAATCCCAGATTTTCCAATAGAAATACTTCACACTGGAATTATGTCTTTATAAGGCAGCAGCTGTCACAAAGGAGTGGTAAGGCCTGAGGACATGAGAATTTCAGGGGGAAGGGTATGTGTGAGAAGATTCAGAACTTGTAACCCAGGGGGGTTTTTAGGAGTCTCGGATAAATAGGATTTTCCTAGTCCCAAAACGTAAAGACTACATGCATTGCCCACTAGTCAGGCTTCTTCATAGCTAACTAGCATGACTGATAGAAGCTAGACATTTTCTTGGACATATTCTCAGATGCCACATGCAAAAATCACTTCATAGAGAATATATATTGATCTGTTTTTTAGAGCCATTTGGATTTTCTAAGTAAAATTCGTGATTTTACCTGTATTTGCTATATATTAATAACATGACTGCTCAAGATCTTTTAATTTATGGCTAATATAGACAGATCATCCTTTTTCACCTGCCTCTGTGATGGCTTGTTAACCTATTAGTAGCTACTTAAACAATAAAGTATCTTTGGAAATTGTGCTACTAGTTGGCTACAACATTGTAGAAGTTGGTACCAATTACCTGAAATTATTTTTTACTTTTAGAGGACTGATAGATGCTTGTTAGAATTGAGCCTGTCTCTGGTAACTTTGTTAAAGGGAAAAGAGAGTATTGGGGTAAAGTTTAGGTTCAGTTTTACTTTTTATTATTATTGTTTGTGTTTTTGTTTTGTTTTTCTGTTTTTAGAGGGAGGCTCTCACTCTGTTGCTCAGGCTGGAATGCAGTGGCGTGACTATAGCTCACTGCAGCCTCAAATTCCTGGGCTCACGCAATCCTCATGTCTCAGCCTCCTGAGTAGCTGAGAATATAGACATGTGCCACCATGCCCAGCTAATTTTTAATTTTTTTTGTAGAGACTGATATTTACATAGTAATTAAGTTTGGATTACATCCTGGACCTTGAAAGATTGCCAGAAAACCAAAATTGACTGTTATACAAATCACCTGTAGCTTGATCATTGTTTGGTCATTAGTGTTATTGCACCAAAGTGATAAAAAGTAGTTTATGTACAGAATTTTAAGGAACTTTTTTTTCTTACTATTTTCTTACACATTAGAGATAATGCGCTGTGGTAAAAGAGCAGTAGTTTTTTTCTTTTTTAAAAAAAGATGGGGTTTCACCACGATGGCCAGGCTGGTTTTGAACTCCTGACCTCAGGTGATCCACCCACCTCAACCTCCCAAAGTGCTAGGATTACAGGCATGAGCCACCACGGCCCGCTAAAAGAGCAGTAATTTAAAGCACCTTTGAGAAATCTAACTTTTCCCTTTGTAACCTTTTGGATTGAAGCATGATTTTTGAGAAATGGAACAATCAGGATAGTAGTTATGAACATTGTAAACTTGGCTTATGTTAAATATATATAGATTAATTTAGTAGTCCATGGAAAATATGCAGCTAAAATAATACAGCAATTCTAAAATAATACTTGTTATGCTACTTTTTTTGGTTAACCGGGGGCATGTAAGTTAGGTAAAATAAACCCTTACCATTCTGTTAATGATACCACTATTATCAGTCATTAGATTGGACAAGAAATAGCAGTTTTGGTATTTCAACCCTCTTGGGCTCCCTGGCATGTTCAAGCACTCTTACTTGAAATCTTAGTTCTGTAATGGTGAAAATAACTCTAGACCCATGCCATCCCTGTGGTCCTCAGTGTGATCTTACTGCTGTGATTTGGCCTTTTCTCTGACTCCTTGAGGTATGTCCTGATCCTGGTACATTAGAAAGTGACTGTTGGAGCACAACACCGCAAGTATAACTTTGCTTACAGTGCCAACTAGAGCAGCCTTGAGATTCTGTCCGGGCGGTGCTAGTGAATTTTCTTTCCATTTAATAGATTCGGCTGCTTAGTTCATCAGAAGCTGTTAGTAGTACAGGTCAGAATCTGCTCTTACTTGTGCACATGTACCACCTTCTCGTCTCACACCACTGTTCATGAACAACAAGACTAGGTTTTCTTTTAAGTTGTTCGTTTGTTTGTCCTTGAGATAGAGTATTGCTCTGTTACTTAGGCTGGAGTGCAGTGGCACAATCTCTGCTCACTACAACCTCTGGCTCCCAGGTTCAAGCGATTCTCCTGCCTCAGCCTCCTGAGTAGCTGGGATTACAGGCTCCTGCCACCACACCTGGCTAATTTTTGTGTGTTTTTTGTTATTGCTTTTTTTTTTTAGTAGAGATGGGGTTTCACCATGTTGGCCAGGCTGTTCTTCAACTCTTGACCTCAGGTGATCCACCCATCTTGGCCTCCCAAAATGCTGGCCACCCACCATACCTGGCCTGTTTTAAGTTTTACATAATGCTTTACTTCTCTTTCTCTGTCACCAGACAGACATTCAACCCCATATCAAAATTACTCTCTCCCCAAACCTGTGATTATCTCCTTTATCTCAGTAGTTAAAATGAATACAGTTCAGATTCAATGTGGCATTTTGAAAGCCAGGGGACACACCCAGGATGATTATGGTACCTGGGTACAGGAGAACAGAAAAACAGTTCTCTGCTATGGAATATTAATTATGAATATTAGCTCTCTTTTTACTCGATTCACAGTAGTTTAATGGTTACCTTAAAAATAAACTGAGACCGGGTATGGTGGCTCACACCTGTAATCCTAGCACTTTGGGAAGCCAAAGTGGGAGGATCATTTGAGCTCAGGAGTTTGAAACCATCAGGGGCGACAGAGTAAGACCTCACCTCTACTTAAAAGAATAAAAGGCTGGGCACAGTCACGCCTGTAATCCCAGCACTTTGGGAGGCCGAGGCGGGTGGATCATGAGGTCAAGAGATCGAGACCATCCAGGTCAACATGGTGAAACCCGGTCTCTACTAAAAATACAAAAAATTAGCTGGGCATGGCGGCGCGTGCCTGTAATCCCAGCTACTCAGGAGGCTGAGGCAGGAGAATTGCCTGAACCCAGGAGGCGGAGGTTGTGGTGAGCCGAGATCGCGCCATTGCACTCCAGCCTGGGTAACAAGAGCGAAACTCCGTCTCAAAAAAAAATAAGTAAATAAAATAAAATATAAGCCCAAACATAGTGGCTTGACATTGTAATCCCAGCGCTTTGGGAAGCTGAGGTAGGTGGATCGCTTTGAGCTCAGGAGTTCTAGACCAGCCTGGGCAACATGGTAAAAACCTCTTCTCTACAAAAACAAAAATTAGCCAGGCATGGTGGTGGGTGCCTATAATCCAGCTACTAGGGAGGCTGAGGCAGGAGAATCGCTTGAACCTGGGAGGCAGAGGTTGCGGTGAGCCAAGATCATGCCACTGAACTCCAGCCTGGGTACTGGGAGACAGAGTGAGACCGTGTCTTAAAAGTAAATAAATAAGGGGGCCGGGAGCGGTGGCTCAAGCCTATAATCCCAGCACTTTGGGAGGCCGAGGAGGGTGGATCACGAGGTCAAGAGATCGAGACCATCCAGGTCAACATGGTGAAACCCCGTCTCTACTAAAAATACAAAAAATTAGCTGGGCATGGCGGCGCGTGCCTGTAATCCCAGCTACTCAGGAGGATGAGGCAGGAAAATTGCCTGAACCCAGGAGGCGGAGGTTGCGGTGAGCCGAGATCGTGCATTGCACTCCAGCCTGGGTAACAAGAGTAAAACTCCGTCTCAAATAAAATAAATAGGAAAGAAAGAAAGAATAAAAATAAACTGAATTCCTATTTCCAGCCTCCCCAAAGAGACACTAAGTTCTTCTCTTCTTTTTTTTTCTCTCTAATTAGTGTTGAAATTTTTGTTACATCTCCCTTTCTTCTGGTTTATTTTGTTTGAATTTTCTTTTCTCTTTTCCTTATGTTTGGTTCTGTGCACGATGAAGTTTGAGGCTATCGGTGCAGGTGTTCAGTAATATAAAACTTTGTTTGTAAGTTAGAATCCTATTTTACTTCTTCTTGAGCCTGAGTGGTAATCTTAGAAAAGTCTGTTGAGATTTAGTTATAATAAACGTACTACTTAATTACCGCACAAGTTTAAACACAGAGTTTGCTGTCACAATATAAACACCCAGATGAGGGCCTGAGAGAAGCCTTCACACTCCCACCCACATGAACTCTGTTGGGTGTTTTCTTCCTGCCCTCAATCTGGCAAACAAAAATATGGAATTTGTTCCAAGAATTTCTGTGAAACCAGTTTAGAAACTTTATAAATGGCTCAACTAAATGCCCAAAACCTGATTACTGCCATTCCATTTTGCCAGCTTTCTCCAAGCCATTATTTTATTTTAAAAAAGTGATTTTTCTTGAGAGCTTTGTTATTCTTAAGATACTTTATCTAATTTGTTGCAAGTTTTTAAAACTCCAATTTTGAGACTTTTCTTTTTTTTTTTACTCTCTGTAGCTTTTATAGAATAAAACATGTTTGGGCTTTAAAATTCTAAGGTAACTATTTTAAATGGGAATAGCTAGCAGCTGTGTGTGTAAACCAGACACTGTCAGTTATTTCATCAGTTTTATATAATAAAATTTCATTGCTTTTAATATAATTGAAAATCTGTTTAAAAACAGCCCAACATCTATTTTTGATAAAATTGCCGTGGTAAACAAATAGGTCATTTCTGTGCATGTGTTTGAAATGAATTTATGTAGAAAATTATTTTATTGATACTCTTGGAATGTCCCTACTTTTCAATTATCCAGTCACTTAAAATATTTACTGAGCTCTTCTGTATGTGCCAGGCACTGTTCTAGCAGTAATCGAGGCATCAGGGCTGCTGCTCTCATGGAGCTAACCTTAAGAAAAATATTGATAGTGACATGACTTTGGACCAGCCTGGCTAACACAGTAAAACCCCATCTCTACTAAAAATACAAAAATTAGCCAGGCGTGGTGGCATGCACCTGTGATCCCAGCTCCTTTGAGTTTAAGGCAGGAGAATTGCTTGAACCTGAGAGATAGAGGCTGCAGTGAGCAAGATTACACCACCGCACTCCAGCATGGGCATCAGAGCAAGACTGTGTCTCAAAAAAAAGAAAAATATTGATAATGAATTCCAGGCAGACAATTAAAACAGTAATTGGGGTGGCTCTGAAATGAGGTAGACAGAAAATGCCAGTTTGAGAAGGTGACATATAAGCTGCTGAGTAAAAAGAAAGAGCCAGCAATGGTGGGAGCAAAACCAGTGCCTGGCTTGGAGCAGCAGCCACTGAGGTATCCCTGACCAGGGTCCTTTCACCTATCCACAAGCATGGGGAACATCTTTGCCAACCTCTTCAAAGGCTTTTTGGCAAAAAAGAAGTGCGCATCCTCATGGTGGGCCTGGATCCTGCAGGGAAGACCACCGTCTAGTACAAGCTTAATCTAGGCGAGATGGTGACCACCATTCCCACCATAGGCTTCAATGTGGAAACCGTGGAGTACAAGAACATCAGCTTCACTGTGTGGGACGTGGGCGGCTGGGACAAGATCCGGCCTCTGTGGTGCCACTACTTCCAGAACACACAGGCCTGATTTTCGTAGTATACAACAATGACAGCACATGATTAAAGCCTGCGAGGAGTTCATGAAGATGCTGGCCAAGGATGAGCTCTGGGATGCTGTCCTCCTGGTGTTTGCCAACAGGCAGGACCTCTCCAATGCCATAAATGCAGCCAAGATCACAGATAAGCTGGGGCTTCATTCCCTATGCCACATGAACTGGTACATTCAGGCCACCTGTGCCACCAGCAGCGATGGGCTCTATGAAGGAGCAGGCTGGCTGTCCTGTCAGCTCCAGAACCAGAAGTGAACATGACACCCTTCCTTCTCACTCCTCTTGTCCTCTCCTTTACTCTCATGGTGGCAAACACAGGGCTCCCAATGTGAGTGCCAAGAGCTGCCTCCATGGTTCAGTCACCATGTGCATCACACCGTGGTGTAACTGTGGCACATGCAGCCTGCAGCCAGGCTTTTTCAATGTAAGTAGCTTCTGTTTCCAGTTAGGCAGTTTCTGGGACTCCTGTGCAATATTACTCAGCTTTTTAAATTGTAACAAGAAAATCAACTCACTGTTCAGTGCTGACAGGGGATGTAGGCCCTTGGGCACCTAGCCTTGGGAGTTGCTGTTGGGAGAGCTGGGCACGCCCTTGACTTTAGAGCTCCATTGAGATCCATTTTGATAGTTGGCTTTTTTTTTTTTTTTAAATGAAAAGAGTCAGCCATAAAAAGGTCATAGGATGGATTTTCTAAGCAGAGGGAATAGTCCTAAAGTGGAAATGAGTTGGGTGTTAAAAAGCAGAAAGAAGGCCAGCCAAACTGACTTAGTGTTTGTGTTGAGATGTCAAAGGGCATGCAGCCATGTGTGTGGAATTGCAGGGGCAGTCGGGGACTAGGGTAAGATTGAGGTCATATAGGTAGACAGGAGCTTGGGTTTTATCAGCATGGTGGGAGGCCATTAGAGGATCAGAGGCATGACAGTGCACTCCAGGCATAAAGAATTGGTTGTGTGTGTTGAGCGAAGGAGAATGGCAGTAAAACTAGTTAGGAGGCTATTGCAGTAGTGTAGTTGGTAGTGACTTGAATTAGGGTGCTAGTAACAGAGAAGGAGAGAAGTGGAAGGGTTTGGGCTGTGTGTTAGAGGTATGGTTCATTTACTTGTGCTATAGATTTTACCATGAATGCCAGGGTGGATGGTGCCTTTACTGAAACAGTGGAAACAGGGAGCAGGGGGAGCAGGTTTTTGAGGAAAATCAAGAGTTCTGTTTTGTCCATTTTAAGATACCTATTAGAGAGCCAATTGGAGATGTCAAATTAGCAATCAAATATATGACTCTGGTGTTCTAGGAAGAGGCACGGCAGGGCTAGAGGTGCAGGTTTATGATTAAGCAGCAAAGAACAAATGTTTTATTTTATTTTTAATGTTATTTTATTTTTGGGAGGAGTCTTGTTCTGTAGCCCAGGCTGGAGTGCAGTGGCATGATGCCAGCTCTGGCAACCTCTGCCTCCTGGGTTCAAGTGATTCTCCTGCCTCAGCCTCCCTAGTAGCTGGGATTACAGTCGCCTGCCAGCACACCCAGCTAATTTTTGTATTTTTAGTAGAGACGCGGTTTCACCATGTTGGCCAGGCTGGTCTTGAACTCCTGACCTCAAGCAATCCACCCTCCTTGGCCTCCCAAAATGCTGGAATTACAGGCCTGAGCCACCCCACCCGGCCCAAGAACAAATGTTTTAAAACCATTGGACTTGATAAGATCACTAGGGAAATTGTGTACATTGGGAAGACGAGAACACCTAGTGCCTTGGGAACTCTAGGAGAAGGGATCTGGCAGATGTGACTGAGTAGGAACAGCCAGTGAGATGGAAGGAAAGCAGTAGATAGTGGTGTCAGAGAAACCAAAAGCTGAAAATTTCAAGGAGGGACTGTTGAAAATTTCCAGGAGGGACTGTCAGATGCTACAGAGAGGTTGAGTTGAGTAACAGCAAAAACATTGGCTTTGAGGGTCACTCATAATCTTGACAAGAACATTCTCCAGTAGAGTAGATATGAATGGGTCAAGGAGAGAATAGAAGAAGGAGATGGTGATTATAGACAAGTCTTAAATCACCAAGAATTGTATCAAGAGTAGATGTAGGCCGGGTGCGGTGGCTCATGCCTGTAATCCTAGAACTTTGGGAGGCCAAGGTGGGTGGATCACCTGAGGTCAGGAGTTCAAGACCAGCCGGGCCATCATGGTGAAACCCCATCTTAAAAAAAAGAAAAAAAGAGGAGATGTAATGGGTAATTGTGTTTTCTAAGAGAGAATGGGGATAGCAAACGTGTACTTTTTAATCTAATGTGAATCTATAGAAATGTCACTATATATTATAAGTCGTATATGTTTACCTCCTACCTGTGAACCCAGACATGTAGTGGAAATGGGATCCATTCACTGTGTGAACACTGTTGAATGAAGCACTGACACAGTGGTCCTCATGTAGCTGCGCTCCTGGGATTATGATAAGTAACTGAGTTTACTAATTGGAGGCTATAATTTAATATATTTCAACCTAGAAATAGTGCTGAATGCATAGTTGTTTTGGCTAGCTGTGGTGGCTCACGCCTGTGATCCCAGCATTTTGGGAGGCCAAGGCGGGTGGAGCACTTGAGGTCAGGAGTTCAAGACCAACCTGGCCAACATGCTGAAACCCTGTCTCTACTAAAAATACAAAAATTAGGTGGGCATGGTGGCATGTGCCTGTAATCCTAGCTACTTGGGGGGCTGAGGAAGAAGAATTCCTTGAACCCGGACCCAGGAGGCAGAGGTTGCAGTGAGACAAGATTGCACCACTGCACTCTAGCCTGGGCTACAGAGTGAGACTTTGTCTCAAAAAAAAAAAAGTTGTTTTGTATGTGTACTGCCTCCCCCACTTTCTTTTTTTCTTGCTTTCTGTGTGTGTGTGTGTGTGTGTGTGTGTGTGTGTGTGTGTGTGTGTGTGTCTGTGTGGCAATAAACATGATTTTTATTTTTTATTGTACTTCAGGTTCTGGGGTACATGTGCAGATCATGCAGAATTGTTGCATAGGTACATACATGGCAATGTGGTTTGCTGCCTCCATCCCCCTGTCACCTATATCTGGCATTTCTCCCCATGTTGTCCCTCCCCAACCTCCCAACCTCCCAACCTCCCAACCCCCCACTGTCCCTCCCCTAGTCCCCCCACCAACAGACCCCAGTGTGTGATGCTCCCCTCCCTGTGTCCATGTGTTCTCATTGTTCAGCACCCACCTATGAGTGAGAACATGAGGTGTTTGATTTTCTGTTCTTGTGTCAGTTTGCTGAGAATGATGGTTTCCAGATTCATCCATGTCCCTACAAAGGACACAAACTCATTGTTTTTTATGGCTGCAAAGTATTCCATGATGTACATGTATCACATTTTCCTTGTCCAGTCTGTCATTGATGGGCATTTGGGTTGGTTCCAGGTCTTTGCTATTGTAAACAGTGCTGCAATGAACATTCGTGTGCATGTGTCCTTATAGTAGAACGATTTATAGTCCTTTGGTTATATACCCAGTAATGGGATTGCTGGGTCAAATGGAATTTCTATTTCTAGGTCCTTGAGGAATCGGCACACTGTCTTCCACAATGGTTTAACTAATTTGCACTGCCACCAACAGTGTAAAAGTGTTCCTATTTCTCCACATCCTCTCCAGCATCTGTTGTCTCCAGATTTTTTAATGATCATCATTCTAACTGGCATGAGATGGTATCTCAATGTGGTTTTGATTTTCATTTCTCTAATGACCAGTGATGATGAGTATTTTTTCATGTTTGTTGGCCTCATACATGTCTACTTTTGAAAAGTGTCTGTTCATGCCCTTCACCCACTTTTGAATGAGTTTGTTTTTTTCTTGTAAATCTGCTTTAGTTCTTTGTAGATTCTGGATATTAATTAGCTCTTTTGTCAGATGGGTAGATTGCAAAAAATTTTTCCCATTCTGTTGGTTGCTGGTTCGCTCTAATGATTGTTTCTTTTGCTGTACAGAAGCTCTGGAGTTTAATTAGATCCCATTTGTCTATTTTGGCTTTTGTTGCCAATGCTTTTGGGTGTTTTAGTCATGAAGTCCGTGCCTATGCCTATGTCCTGAATGGTTTTGCCTAGGTTTTCCTCTAGGGTTTTTATGGTGTTAGGTCTTATGTTTAAGTCTTTAATTCATCTGGAGTTAATTTTAGTGTAAGGTGTCAAGAAGGGGTCCAGTTTCTGTTTTCTGCACATGGCTAGCCAGTTTTCCCAACACCATTTGGGGAATCCTTTCCCCATTGCTTTTGTCAGGTTTGTGAAAGATCAGATGGTTGTAGATGTATGGTGTTGACTCCAGCCTCCTCCACTTTCTAAGTCACCAATCAATCAGCAATCAGCAGTTCCTTCTGCATTTTAAAAAGAGCCCCCTTGGCATTTTTTTCTATTAACTGTGAATGTTTGTTAAGGCTTCTGTTTGCTGTACTCTGTGCTGTGGTCTCAATGTGTCCCTCCCTCCACCCACCCAATTCATGTGTTGAAACCTAATCCCCAGTGTGGTGGGTGGTAGGAGATGGAGGCTTTTGGTAAGTAATTAAGTGATGAGGACTGAGCCCTCATTAATGGGATTAGTGTCCTTGTAAAAGAGGCCCAAAAGAGCTTGTTAGCCCATTTAGCCCGTTCCACCACACTAGGATGCACTGAAAAGCCGCCATCAGTGAAGCAGAGTGAGTCTTCACAGGCACAGAAACTACCGGCACCTGGATCTTGGACTTTCCTGTCTCTAGAGCTGGAAGAAATACATTTCTGTTGTTTATAGTTACCCAGTCTAAGGCATTTTGTTATAGCAGCCCAGCTGGACTAGTTTTTCCTTTTCCACTATTATTGAAAAATAATTTCTTCAGGACCATTTTTTTGTGGGAACATTTTATAATCCCCATATCTGTAGCCTCTTAGTGTATAGTATAATGTTCTGCTGTTATCTTAGGTTGAGGAACAAGTTTCTAATACTTGTCTGTAGATGTCTTTAACTTTGTGGTGCTTCTTGCTATCATTACTTTTATGAATCAAGTACACCTGCAGGGGATATTTATGACTGTGTTCCCTTTTTTATCTACCTAAAAAATACCAACTTTCTATGTGTGATTCTGGGCCACAATTACAAATTTTGAACCCTCTGGCCATCACAATTTTTAACTTTATTTTCTGTCTGGAATACTGTACACAGTCTGTATTCGTGATCTAAATCAATTCAGCCTGCAGATCCTCAAGTTTACTATTCCACATAGCAAGAAATATTGGGGCATGATAGAAGGTTTAGATGTAATAGTTTATTTAGTGTTAAATTTTACCTGAAATGCCTAATAGTACAGGTGCACATTTAAATATACAAGCTAATAATCCTGTGACTCAGACTGTTGATTAGTGGTGAAAGCAGAAAGCTATGTTATATTGATGCTTATTTTGTTTTGAAGAAAGAAGTAATTGCTAGCTTGTCAGATATTGAGCCTCTCTGACCAAAAGAAATTCAGCTATCACTCTGTGTCTGACCTTTCACTTTCCAAACTCAGAAACTGAATAAATTTAGATAACAAGGGATACTTGTTTTTGTAACATTGGGCTAATTGTATAAAGCACAGACTGGGACTTGCCCAATTAATACATTTTGTTTCATATTCCAGAACTTCTGGCTTACACAGTCAAGTGATTTAACCTAATTCACATAAATGAACAAACTGAGGCAATTTCTCTTTCCACCCTTTTTCAGAAAATAAATATAACTTGGTCTTTTATTTATCATAATTCCATAACATGAAGGTTTCAGGGATCTATAATGAAAAACTGAGTTGGAATGGGGAGACAATCCAGATGTTTTGCATATATATGTATATATATAAAACTTTTGTATATTTGAGATATATATATATTAAGATATATATAAAACTTTTTTTCACCTAAAAGTACTCTAGCAAAGAAAACTGATGAATAATAAAGATTTTAATACTTGAAAGCATTGTATATCTCATGGTTTCTTTTTTTTGTTTTTTTAAGATGGAGTTTCCCTCTTGTTGCCCAGGCTGGAGTGCAATGGTGCAGTCTTGGCTCACCGCAACCTCTGCCTCCCGGGTTCAAGCGATTCTCCTGCCTCAGCCTCCCTGGTAGCTGGGATTATAGGCATGTGCCACCACACCTGGCTAATGTTGTATTTATAGTAGAGAGGCAGTTTCTTCATGTTGATCAAACTGGTTTCGAACTCCTGACCTCAGGCGATTGGCCCACGTTGGCCTACCAAAGTATTGGGATTATAGGTGTGAGCCACTGTGCCCAGCCTTTTTCTTTTTTTAGTAAGTTTTTCATGGACCATAAAGTTCGTCCTTTCATAATACAGAATTCTGTGGTTTTTATTTATTTATTTATTTTTGAAATGGAGTCTCACTCTGTCACCCAGACTGGAACATAGTGCCACAGTCTTGGCTTACTGCAGCCTCTGCCTCCCAGCTCAAGCCATCATTCCACCTCAGCCCCCGCAAGTAGCTTGGGGCTACAGGTACACACCACCGTGCCCAGCTATTTAATATTTTTTGTAGAGATGGGGTTTGTCCATGTTGCCCAGGCTGGTCTTGAACCCCTGAGCTCAAGCAATCCACCTGCCTTGGCCTCCCAAAGTTCTGCCACCACATCTGGCCATAATTCTGTGTTTGTACAACCATCACTAATTTTTATCCCCCTCAAAGAGAAACCCATACACATGAGCATTCATTTTCTGTTCCCCTATTTCCCCTCGTCAGCCCTAAGTAACTATTAATCTACTTGCCTATTCTGGACATTTCACATAAATGGAATCAGGCGATTGGCCATTATATGGCCTTTTGTGTCTGACTACTTTAACTTACCTTTCATGTTTTCAGGGTTCATCCATGTCAACCAAGTATTAGTATTTTACTCCTTTATGGGATTTTTGTTGTTGTTGTTTGTTTTTTGAGACAGAGTCTTACTCTGTTGCCTAGGCTGGAGTGCAGTGGCACGATCTTGGCTCACTGCAGCCTCTGACTCTCAGCTTCAAGCGATTCTCCTGCCTCAGCCTCCTGAGTAGCTGGAATTATAGGTGCCTGCCACCGTGTCCAGTTAATTTTTGTATTTTTAGTAGAGATGGGGTTTTGCCATCTTGGCCAGGCTGATCTTAAACTCCTGACCTCGTGATCCACCCACCTCGGCCTTCAAAGTGTTGGGATTACAGGCGTGAGCTACTGCACCCAGCCATATTTTACACCTTTTTATGACCCAGAATATTCCATTGCGTGGATACAGCACAATTTGTTTATCTGTTTCTCAGAATTTCCAATCTGTTTCTCAGTGGTAGACATTTGGGTTATTTCTCCCTTTCGGTTATCATGGGTATCACTGCTGCTTTGAACATTTGTGTTCATGGTTTTTTTTTTTTGGCATATGTGACCATGTGTTTTCAGTTCTCTTGCCTGTATACCTAGGAGTGGAATTGCTGGGTCATACAGTAACTCTGTGTTTAACAATTTGAGGAGCTGAACTGTTTTCCAAAGTGAGTACACTGTTTTACAGTCTGTATCAGCGAAGGAGTGTGTTGCCACATGTACATACGTGATGAAAAAAATCATTTAGCCTCAGAGTTAGGGATTCTATGCTATTTCCCACCTTTGCTTATTTAAAGAAAAAAACTTAAATTTCAGATGAGTTCAGGAAAGCTTGTCAGGTTTTTTGAGTCTTACCACTCTCTTGGAATGGTAACTATTATAGATGCCAATAGGTACCTTGGCAATACCTCTAATTCTAATTTTACATATGCTCCTTAATTGCTCTAAAAATTTTAACTGTTGAATGTTTGAATGCAAATTACAGAACAAAAATCACAAATGGCTTAAATGATAAAGAAGTTTTTCTAATACAGAAACTGAAAGATCCAGGTAAGACTGGCTTCAGCCAGAACTTGATCCTCCACACTGACTAGAACAGCATTCCCTGGTTGGCTTAAACAGAAGTGCCCGAATCAGATCTTCTTGGCCCTGATTGATCTGCCTTGGTTGTGTGCTCATTTTTGGTCACAGTTTGGGATAAGCTGGCGCTGGGAGTGAGTACAGTCCAAATCAGGGTTCTCCTAGGAGAGGAAGGAAGAATGTATGCTGGATAAATACCCAACATGGGTCCACTATAGAGTCACACCTCTCCTTCTGTAGAGCTGCTAAGGAAAGAATAAATACGCATTCACTGCACTCAAGCCTGTATCTGATAACTTACTGAATTCAGTTAGCTCGTCTTTCAGGAGACCAATTTTTTTTTCTAGCCTTTCATAACAATCCTTTATATGTCTGCATCATTTTATTCTTACTTGTTTTGGTAAAGCGTTTTATAGCTTTTTTTAAGACAGTTTCTTTGTTTTAAGTAGTAAGTGTGGGCTGTTATAATCGTGGTGTCTGAGTTTTAGTACTAGAGATACCCGTTGTAGTTAAGAATGTTTTATTTTTGCTTGGTGATAGTCCCTTGCTTGATAAAAGGGTTGGGTTTTTAGTGCAACCTGAGTTTTGTCTGAGGCAGTATCTCTGTCTCCTCCCGCTAATTCTAATAAGTAACAGGGCAAAAGAGTAAATAAGAGTAACTTAAACATTTCTCCTGCGGGCATCAGCGAGAAGAACGCAGATAGGCACTGAGTTTCTGCTTACTGTATGTACTGTGTGAATAATCCAGTTTAGTAACTCTCCTTGTATCACTGCTAGTCTTAATATTTTTCTGCTGCATAACAAACAACCTCAAAATCTCAGTGAATTATAACCAACAACAATTTATTTTCATTCTCATGGGTCTGCAGGTTGGTACAGATCCATTGATGCAGGCTTTGCTCAGCTGGGCCAGGCTGGGCTTAAAACTTCTGGCCAGGTTCAGGTCTGTTTTGTAAATTTTTATTCTGGAACATAGGCTGAGAGGCAGTGGCTATCTGGGCATGTGGTTACATGCTCTTATACAGAATCCCTGGAGTATAAGAGGGATGAGTAGAAACATGCAGTGTCCCTTAAGACTGCAGCTTGGACCAGCACACTGATACTTCCTCCTAATTTTATTGGCCAAAGTAAATAATATGGCCAAGCCCTGTATCCATGGGCCCAGGGAATATGCTGTTTCCACAGTGGGACACATTGCAAAGTCACACAGCAGTAAACATGGGTGTGTCCTTCTAATGAGTGAATAATTGGGAATGATATTCTCCCTAGCTATATGAATTATAGGAATAAAGGTATGGAAAATTATGTGTGACAGAGGCAGATTTCTCCTTAGTAACTGGGGTTTATAGAAGACTATAATTGGGTACTTTTAACTTTTTACATTTTTATTATGTGTTTATTTACCCTGAGACAGGCTTTCACTCTGTTACCCAGGCTGGAGTGCAGTGATGCAATCATGGCTCATTGCAGCCTTGAACTCCTGGGCTCAAATGAACCTTCAACCTTAGCCTACCAAGTAGCTGGGATTACAGGCATATTTTAATAATCTGATTTAAACCACTAATAATGTTCAAACTAAATTAATAATTTTTTTATTTACTGCTACTTCTGAGAAAGCAACCATGGTAGTACCGTGTTCAGTGCCTTTTATCTCAATGTCTGAAGACATTTGCTAAATTGCTTAGTAATTTTTTTTTTAACTTTTTCCTCCTGAGATAGAGTTTCACTTTTGTTGTCCAGGCTGGAGTGCAGTGGCGGGATCTCGGCTCACTGCAGCCTCTGCTTCCCAGGTTCAAGCAATTCTCCTGCCTCAGCCTCTTTTTTTTTTTTTTTTTTTTTGAGACCGAGTCACTCTCTCGCCCAGGCTGGAGTGCAGTGGTGCCATCTCAGCTCACTACGACCTCAGCCTCCCAAATTCAAGCGATTCTCCTGCCTCAGCCTCCCAAGTAGCTGGGATTACAGGCCTGCACCACCATGCCCGGCTAATTATTTTTTGTATTTCTAGTAGAGACAGGTTTTCACCATATTGCTTCGGCTGGTCTTGAACTCCTGACCTCAGATGATCCACCCCCAAAGTGCTGGGATTACAGGCCTGAGCCACTGCGCCCTGCCTGCTTAGTATCCTTTCCTCTTGTGTAAATTGTAAAAAGGTCTGAAGTCCTTTCTCCTAGTCAGTCTTAAATTGTTAACGAAGTCTTATTCCTATTCTTTCTCTAAAATCTAGCAAACTAGTCAACTTATGTGTCACGTCTTACAAGGAGTTTATAATACTAGAATATAGAATTCGTGAAAGGGTGGGCATTTAAAATCATATCCAGAAATATCTAAATAACCTAAGGAACATTGTATGCAGCATCCCTGGAAGGAATTGTAAGTTTGTCTTTTTATTTTTGAGAGTTTCTGATGGTGGTGGTGAAGTGATTTTGTAGACTTTGAGGAATATAGGTTTTAGTAGATAACGTGGTGTTTTCCCTGCTGATGCTAATTAAACTACAGCACTCTTCCCCAAGAAAAGGATGTTTTGAAAAACTAAAGATTCCATGGAATATATTTTATATAACTCTGTTAGAAGCCATATATATTAGTTAGGATTAGTTTTAACTATGTGTAATGCAAATTCAGGATAACGGTGGCTTAAACAAAGTAGTTCATTTTTCTCATCTAAAATGTGGCAAGAAGTAGATACAGTGGTATAGTGCCATGTCTCGTTGTCATTAGGGATCTACGCTTCCTCTAGCCTACTACAACACTATTCTTAATGTGTTCCCCCATGGTTCAAGGTGGCTGGTTGAGCTCCATCTGTCATTTCTGTATTCAAGGGAGAAGGGCCTGCTTTCCTTTAAGGAATCTTTATTGTAAGTCCTAGATAGTAGAGGCTATACCATTGTGATATTGTCAGAATTTAGGCCCTAGTCGTGTGTGCATGTACACGTATGTATGTGTGTGTTTGTATAAAATAGCTACAGGAAAGGTTGGAAATGCATTATTTTAAAAAGGATTATTTTACCAAAAAGGAGAGGGAGAATAAATGCAGAAAGGAAGTTTGCAGTCTCTGCCATATTGTAGTTTTTGTTTTTTCCATTTTAGGTGAGTGTTTTTAATTGCCTAAAAAATTGTGGTAGTTGAAGTTATATATTGACTTCTAGGAATCACATTCCCGTCTGATAATAAATAGAAGGTTGCGGGTATGATGTAAAGAGTAAGTACAGATGTGGTGCTAAAAGGCATTATAGAAAATTCAGAAATCTTTTATGCCTTGAAATTCAGCTAAATACCAGTTTGGATTCAGGAAGAACTAAGATTTTAATATCTTGTTTTTCAGCTCATTGAAGACTGTTGATTTAACATTATTCTTGTACCACTAAGAAAAAAATGCAGTTATAAAATGCACTCCCAATTTCAGAGTTGTTCAAATGTGAGGAAAATATGTCTTTGACAATATTAACCTTTTTCATAGCTGCCTTTTGTCTCTTCACATTTCTCTCTAGCCAGTTGAAGGGACAGTTATTGCCTGTGATTGAGACCTGTTTGGTCAAATGCAGATAAAGTAGCAAAAATAATGCACCACGTTAATAACATAGCTAGCACTTACTAACAGGAGATATACAGCCAGTCTTTTCTTATAAATCTGAGCTAACAAGTTATATTAAAATATTACTGCTCTGTATCAGTTATGTATTATCTATTACTGTAAAACAGACTAACTCAAAACCTAGTAGCTTAATGTAACCATTTTGAAATTTTTATTGACGTAATTATAGGTTCACATGCAGTTATAAAAAAAACAATGCAGAGAGATCTCATGTACTCTTTGCCTGTTTCTCCCAATAGGCAGCATTTTGCAAAACTAAGAACATAACCAGGATGTTAGCACTGATACAACCCACTGATGTTGTTCATACCCCTGTTACCTGCGCTCATATATGCATTTGTGTGCATATTAAGATGTACAGGTTTATCACCTGCCTATGTTTCTGTGTGCACCATCACAGTCAAGATAGTGAACGGAACTAACACTAAAATCCCTTGGGTTGTCCTTTTGTACGCGTACCCCACACCTTCCCTCTATTCTCACTGTGGTCCCTAAGCCCTGGCAGCCACTAATCTGTTTACCATTTTAAAGTTTTGTCCTTCCAAAAGTGTTATATTTGCTCATGATTCTTTGGATCTGCAGTTGAGCAGGGCTCAGTTGGGATGCTTTGTCTTTGTCCCGTGTGGCGTCTGCCAGACTATACCAGCCCTGAATGATTCAAGATGGTTTCATTCACATGCCTAGAGCCTTGGTACTGGCTTTTGGTTGAGGTGTCTGTGATCCTCCCCACAACCTCTCTCGTGTAGTTGTCTTCTGCTGGGCCTCTTTCCAACGGGAGAGCCTGGACTTCCTTACATGCCAGCTTCGGGTGCCAAAAAAGCAAAAGTGGAACCTGCTAGATATCTTTTCAATCTAGGCCTGAAACTGGCACAGCCTGCTTTCTGTAGCGGTCTTTTAGTTGGAGAAATTTGTAAGGATAGCTCAGATGCAAGGGGAGGGGAAATAGACTCCCCTTCTTGGTGGGAGGAGTAGCAAATGTATGCAGAGATGAGAGACGTTGTTAGTGGCCAGCTTTGCAGACCACGGAGCGCACACTCCAGAGTTACAGAAATGATGGCACATAGGTCTGCTTGGATTTGTTGTAAATGCTACCTTACTTCATTTTTGAAATGTGAATTTATTTGAATTCCATAAAAAGTACAGAGGAGAATGTGATATGGTTACAGAGTTTTCTGCTGCTAATGCCCATTTCAAACAGAACAGTTCTGTTGCAAGGCAAGTTGCCAGAGTTCAAGTTATCAACCAAATCTAAGGATTCCCAAGGGGTCTGTGGTATTTGCAGAACAATGGGTTGCTTGAAGTGGCTGTTAAGATGTTAGGAATGGTTCACCTCTCTCATTTTCCCAGGCTAGCTGTTTCTTGTGATCCTAAAATAGCAGGGGCTTGTATATGTAGTGCCAGAATTCTATAATACTGACTTGGAGAGACCACACAGATTTCTGTCTTTACGTTAGCTTTTTACATTAAGGAATAAAGATGTTGTTTTTCAACATAGAAGACATCTTTTAGAGCAAAGAGATGATTTTTCAGCTGAGGAAATAAAACCAGTAAAACATTTTCTCTTAAGATTTTTCTGACTATAAAAATGTTAAACCTCCTTCATTTTATTGTAAGAGTGACAGCACAGTGGGTCAGAGGCTAGACCTTAGACTTCATTGGCAGAATTCTTGATCATCTATAACTATATGTGTAACATACATACATAGATGTATAACATCTATGACTGTAACGAGTAAGCTTTCCTAGATTTCTGAAAGGAGAGATGACTAAAGAATTATTGCTCAGCAAGGGCTGTGTGCTTAGAGAGTATTTCATAAATCATGAGGATGGTTAAGGGTAGGTGTGGTTTCAAAAATAAAATGAATTTTTTCCCCCTGAGTTTAGAATTACGTTATTTGGCTAAGAACTTCTTTCCTGCCTTCCTTTCTGAGTGATAACTGATTTCACAAACATTTACCATGCACTGTCTGTCTCTGGAGAATATTGTTAGACATCAGTACAAGGACAGGGTTCCTATTTTCCAGGAGACTGGTCTGACAGGACAAATACCATGTATGCAGAGAGCTAAAGTATAATATCAAGGCGATTAACATAGAAGAGTTTCAAAATGAGGTAAGAATTTTACAGACAACAGACTAAGCTGCCTGACCTCATTTTTCACCCTCATAAAATAGATTTGTACTGTTTCTCTTCCTTCTCTAAAATATTGTCTTAATAGTTAAGAAATGTTTCAATTATTAATTGGAGGCTTAGTTTTTATAGATGTATCAGATTTCATGTGACCATTTGAAAGATTATTGTATAGTTTTGGCACATTTTACCTACTATGTGCACACAGTTATGAACACTTGTTTTATCGTTGTTAATGAAAAGAATACAGAAAGGGAAACACAAAGGTCATTTTTAGCTTTGGTTAAACTAGAGTAGTATAGGACTTTCATTTACTGGTTTTGATACTAATGGTGAAAATAGCACAGCTGATCTCTATTCACTCTGAAAGAAAAGGAGATGAGTGTAAGATTGCAGAAGGAGGCTGGGTGTGGTGGCTCACGCCTGTAATCCCAGCACTTTGGGAGGCCAAGGCGGGCGGATCACGAGGTCAGGAGATTGAGACCATCCTGGCCAACATAGTGAAACCCGTCTCTACTAAAATACAAACAAACAAAAAAAAAAACTAGCTGGGCTTGGTGGTGGTCACCTGTAGTCCCAGCTTCTCGGGAGGCTGAGGCAGGGCAATAGCTTGACCCGGGAGGTGGAGGTTGCAGTGAGCCGAGATCAAGCTGCTGCGCTCCAACCTGGCAACAGAGCGAGACTCAGTCTAAAAAAAAAAAAGGATTGCAGAAGGAGTATTACCTCGACAGGGGAGAGGAAATGCCTTCCTTTGTTTTAGCAAACATTTCTAACATCTGTTTGGCAGCATCCATGGTTCTCCTCTGCTTCCCACCTCCCAAATATGAAGGTGTTTTACATGGAAGCTGTTCATGGCCTCTGTCTCTCTTCTGGGCAGTCTCTCAAAGGGTGCTTCAGAGGGCCAAGTCCCCTCAACCACCCCTACTCACAGCCCACTTCAACCTCTGTTGGGGACAACCAAACAGACTTCATGGACCACTGATCCATTTTACCACTCCATTGCCCACTTGTTAACCAGGAGCATAGTTGGCTGGAACTGGTTAGCCCATGATTGTGCTGAAGGGTCAGGCAGCTACAAGGAGTAAAAATGAACTGAAAGATTCTCATTCTGTCTCGGTTGTCTGTTATGAACTGAAGACTTAAAATTCCATCTGTGGTGGTTTCCTTTTTTCTGTATTCAGCAGATGTGGTTAACATAAAATTAGTTCTAACTGTGAACTCGTTGACTAGGAATAACTTACAGGCCAAATACTATAATTTCAGGAAATGGTAATATTTATCTCACAAGGTTGCTTCATCAGGATTAAGGTGGAACACATGTGAAAGTGTGTCATCCTGGTTGCATGTTAATTCTGAGTTTCCAGAGGTCAGTGCTGTGCAGACTCACAGTCAGCTTCATGTGTGTATGTCAAGATGAGATCTCAGTTTTGAGCTGTAGCCCCACATTTGCAGCCCACTTCAGTTATATAAATTAAAAATGGATCTCACCACTTAAATATTCCTGTTACTTGAAGCTCAACACACACACACACACACACACACACACACACACACACTCTCTCTCTCTCTCTCTTGCTCTCTGTCTCTCTCTCTCTCTCTCACAAACACACACACACATTTTAAAACTCAACAACTCTCCTTTTTTCTCCCTACTTTATATGCATCTGTTTTTCTTCCTTTGTTTCCTTTTTTTTTGGGGGGGGGCAGTAGAGATAGAGTCTCCCTATGTTGCCCAGGCTGGTCTCCAACTCCTGGCCTCAAGTGACCCTCCCACTTCAGCTTCCCAGAGGGCTGGGATTACAGGCATGAGCCACTGCACCTGGTGTGTTTCATGTTTTTATTAATCTACTACCATCCTCTCATTTACACAGCTTCATTCCTACCTGTCTCTTGTTCTTTATACTAGTCATTCCCAAATGCTGTCCATTCTACTTCTTAAAATGTTTCTGGTATCTGCCTTGACTCAGACATTCTCCCTAGAATATTATGTTAGTTTTCTATCTGGCTCTGTCCTTTTTAAGGCCCGAGTCACATTTAACCTCTTTGGCCAACCCTGTTTTCCTCTCTTCCCTTTCTGGTACCCATGCTCCAGGTAAGCTCCAATACTTAACACATGGACCATACTTCTTTGTCATTATGCCATCGTTCCTATTGTACCATTTGCTTCTGAATATTATTCTTTCTGATGGATTTCACATTTTCAGACTCTTCAAGAATAATTCAAATTTTACCTCTTCAGAAGAGGCTAATTTGACCTCCTCCGTTGGAAGCAATCTTTCTTCCTCTGAACGCCTATAACTCCTATGTTCCTTTATTGAAATTTAGATTTCTTTGTAGTACATTTAAAGTTATTTTATGCATATCTTATTACTTAGATTGTAATCTTGACTCAGAAGCAGTGAGTTATCACCAGATCCCCATAATGCTGATGTAGTGCCTAAAATAGTCTCTTTACTTTGGAAGTGCTCAGTAAAACATTTGTCTAACACACTGGCTGCTTTTAAAGAGTCTTCCTGTTCAACTGAAATCTCTGATATTAAGCTGCAGTATGGAAACAGGCTGCCTGTATGGTATAGTGGGCTTTGAACCTGCTGTGAGGGCAACCTTGGGTTCCTTCCTTGGATATAAGGATTTCCAGGTAAAATAAAAAGAATTTCACTCATTCCAAATAGCTCATTTTCTTTAAGGTGGCACACCTGTATTTTTCTTTCTCTTTTTTTTAATACTCAGAAATAATATAAGGCAAAACCAATCTCTCATAATTCTTGGGGGATTAACTGAATGTCATACTCCATGGTACACAGCCTAAGTATTGCTTCTTGTTTAGCTATAAGGTGTCCTATGTTTCCGAGGTGAGTGGATCACAAGGTCAGGAGATTGAGACCATCTTAACCAACATGGTGAAACCCCATCTTTACAAAAGAAAAATATTAGCTGGGTGTGGTGGCACGTGCCTGTAATCCCAGCTACTCAGGGGCTGAGGCAGGACAATCACTTGAACCAAGGAGTTGGACATTGCAGTGAGCTGTGATTGTGCCACTGCACTCCAGCCTGATGACAGAGTGAGACTCCATCTCAAAAAATAATAATGATAATTTTGTCACAGGGTTATTTCATTAAGGGAGCTGATTTAGTTAAAGCACTTATTTAGCACAGTACCCCACACATATGAAAAGCTCAATAAAAATAAGCAGTTACAATTGCTATTATGAATTTACAGTTTGCGATTTCAGATTGGTAATATAAAGGCGAGAGCTGCAGCTGGTTTTTTATGTTTCAGACTGTGCTGAGTAGTTTCCTAGGAATTAGATTAGCTCTGAAATGTTATGTCAGTTGAGAATTTTGGTTTCTAGGTGACAGTACTGCAGTAGGAACAGGACTGGCTCTCCCTTTAGAACAAAAGGCTTTCAATGGGAATTCATAGTGACTTCTTTGGTAGTAGTGGGGTGAGGGGGTGGTGATTATCAGATTATTTCTCTCAACTCCCAGATTAAAATGACAACGTAAAGGAGAGAACAGAGAGCCTCTGTGAAAAGGAACCACCACAGAACTACAGGGGAACAGAGGTCTTAAAGAGATGGGAGAAGAGAAGCAACTCATGTTTTGTTTTTATTAAGCACACAGCTATTAGTGGATATGACAAACTCCACAGTAGGACGGAAAAGCCGTATTAGAGATACAAGTGGCTGAGACATGAATTCCCAAGGTATCTGACCTCTCCTTCACACAAGCAGTGGCATAAATAGTGATCATACAAAGTGAAATATAGAAATAGAAATTTGGAGAAATTTCTTTTAGAGTTTGAATGCGACCTGATTAAAGGAGCTATGAAGAGTGGACATTTTCCCCTTTTGTAAAAGGCAACATGCTTAGTTTGGGGTGAGTTCTGGGGGCCCCATTGGATTAGGGTTTTCCAGATAAACAGAACCAATAGGGTATATATGATATGTATATAAGAGGAGATTTGTAGGGGAATTGGCTTGGGTGGTGATAGAGGCTGCGAAGCCCTACCATCTGCAAGCTAAAGAACCAGGAAAGCCAGTGGTGAAATTCAGTCCAAGTCCAAAGGCCTGAGAGCCAGGAGAGCCAATGGTATAAGTCCTGATCTGAGTCTGAAAGTCCAAGAATCAGGAGTGGGGATGTCCAAGGACAGAAGATGAATGTTTCAGCTCAAGAAGAGAGAGGGTGAATGTGCCCTTCCTCCGCCTTTTTGTTCTGTTTAGGCCCTCGGTGGTTTGGATGATGCCCACCCACACTGGGGAGGATCATCTGCTGAACTCAGTTTCCACTTCACTGCTGATCCCCTCCAGAAACACTCTCACACACAGAAATAGGCAGTAAACAGAATAATGTAAAACCAGATAGCTGGGCATTTCTTAGCTCAGTCACGTTGATACATAAAATTAACTGTCATACCCATCAAGCTACAGTAAGCAGAACTATGTGATGGCTGGGCTTCCTTCTAGGGTCGTAATGAAGTCTGCCTGATAGGACTTCTAACTGAAATGAAGGAATGCAGTGATGTTTACCCCACCCCCCCCGCAAAAAACTGAGATAAGTAGTGGGATTATTTCTGTTTTATACCAGACAAAGCTTAGAACTAAATTCATCACCCATTCCCTCTCCAACATACGCATGTACACCCCACAACCCCCACCCATCTCCATCTGTCCTCTCATTTCAGCTGATGGTGTTTCATTCTTCCAGTTGCTTGGTCCAAAAACATAGTAGTCATCTTTGGCTTCTCTTTCTCTCATGCTTTATGTTCAGTCTATCAGGAAATCCTGTAGATGTATCTTCCAAATATTAATATATCTAAGATCAGATAACTTCTCACAACTACCATGACTTTCACTCCAGTACCAGCCACCATCTTACTGTCTTTTGACTGGGATACTGAAGTCAGATTTTTAAAGGTGTAATTTGTGAACAGTGAAATTTATTTATTTATTTAGAGATGGAGTTTCACTTTTGTTGCCCAGGCTGGAGTGCAATGGCATGATCTCAGCTGATTGCAACCTCCGTCTCCCAAGTTCAAGTTATTCTCCTACCTCAGCCTCCCTAGTGGCTGGTATTACAGGCGCACACCACCACACCCAGCTAATTTTTGTATTTTTAGTAGAGACAGGGTTTCACCATGTTGGCCAGGCTGGTCTCAAACTCCTCCAGGTAATCAACCCATCTCGGCCTCCCAAAGTGCTGGGATTACAGGTGTGAGCCACAGCGCCCAGCCAAAATTTATTCTAAGGGCTGCAGTTCAGTGAATTTTGAAACTACACACACCAACTGCCACAATCAAGGAATAGAACATTTCCATCACCCAGAAAGTTTCCTCATGCCCTTTTGTAGTCAGTCCCTCCTCTCACCCCTGCCCCTGGAAACAGAACTGTTTTTTCTCCTTTTTTACCTTTTTCCAGGATGTCATTTAAATGGGATCATGTTTATAATCTTTTGAGTATGGCTGCTTTTTTTCTTTTTAACAGAATCTCACTTTGTAACTCAGGCTGGAGTGCAGTGGCACAATCTTGGCTCATTGCAACCTCCGCCTCCGGGGTTCAAACGATTCTCCTACCTCAGCCTTCTAAGTAGCTGGGACTACAGGCGCCCGCCACCACACCCAGCTTTTTTTTTTTTCTTCTGTATTTTTAGTAGAGACGGGGTTTTACCATGTTGGCCAAGCTGGTCTTAAACTCCTGACTTCAAGTGATCAGCCTGACTCAGCCTCCCAAAGTACTGGGATTACAGGCGTGAGCCACCGCGCCCAACCGAGTTTGGTTTCTTTTACTTAGCATCGTTCATTTGAAATTTATCCATGTTGCATTTATCAGTAGTTCATACCTTTTTATTGCTGACTAGTAAGTACTACATTGCATAAGAGTACCACAGTTTGTTTATCCATTCATCAGTGGATCCACATGGGTTTCCAGCTTTTGGCAATTCTCAATAAAGCTGCTTATAAACATTCACATTCAGGACTTTGTGGGGACATATGTTTTTATTTCTCTTGGGTCATATGGTACGAGCATATTTAATTTTGTATGAAATGCCGAACTGTTTTTTGGCGTTGTTTTGTTGTTGTGGTTTTATTTTATTTTATTTTTTTTGAGAGAGAGTCTTGCTCTGTCACCCAGGCTAGAGTGCAGTGGTGCGATCTCAGCTCACTGCAACCTCCACCTCCTGGGTTCAAGTGGTTCTTCTGCCTCAGCCTGTGTAGTAGCTGGGATTACAGGTACCTGACACCACCCCCAGCTAATTTTTGAATTTTTAATAGAGACGGGTTTCACCAAATTGGGCAGGCTGGTCTCAAACTCCTGACCCCATATCTACCTGCCTTGGCCTCCCAAAGTGCTAGGATTACAGGCATGAGACACCATACCCGGCCTTTGATCCATATTTTGTAGAATATTCTCCCAGTCTATGTCTTCTGTTTTCATTTTCTTCACAGTCTCTTTCAAAGAGAGGGATTTTTTGTTTGTTTTTTTGAGACAGAGTCTCCCTCTGTCACCCAGGCTGGAGTGCAGTGGTGCAATCTCAGCTCACTGCAACCCCACCTCCCAGGTTCAAGCAGTTCCCCTGCCTCAGCCTCCAGAGTAGCTGGGACTGCAGGTGTGTGCCACCATGCCCAGCTAATTTTTGTATTTTTAGTAGGGACGGGGTTTCACCACATTGGCCAGGCTGGTCTTGAACTCCTGACCTCAAGTGATTCGCCTGCTTTGGCCTCCCAGAGTACTGAGATTACAGTTGTGAGCCACCGTGCCTGGCCAAAGAGCAATGTTTATTGAAGCTTTATGGATTTCACTTTCACATTTAAGCTTATGATCTGTTTTTGCATACAGTGTGAGGTAGTTTGTTTTGCATATATACATCCAGTTGTTCAAACACTATTTGTTGAAAAGACTATTCCTAGTCTGGAATAGTCATGCCTCTACTCCCAGAACTTTGGGAGGCTGATCCAGGAGGATCACTTGAGCCCAGGAGCTCAAGACCAGCCTGGGCAACATAGGGAGACCCCCAAAAAATAAAAATGAAAAATCTTAGCCAGGAGTGGTGGCACACACCTGTAGTCCCAGCAACTCAGGATGCTGAGGCAGATGATCACTTGAGCCCAGGAGTTTGAACTTGCAGTGTGCTGTGATCACGCCACTGCACCCCAGTCTGAATAACAGAGGAAGAATCCATCTCTGAAACAAAAAATGTTTTTTTCCTGTTGACTCTTTTGTTAGAAATTCATTGTTTATAAATTTAAGAATTTTTCAAATCTGTGTTCCATTGAACAGTATGTGTATTCTTCGCTAATTCGCACTATAAATACTATAGTTTTATATTTTATAGTAGTAAGTCTTTAAATCAGTTAATGTGAATCCTCCAACTTTTTCCCCCCAAAATTGCTTTAGCTATTCTACTTCCTTTGCCTTCATACAAATTTTAGAACTAGCTGATTGATTTCTGCAGAAAGAAATTTTGTAGTTTTCAGTCCCATTGATTTCTGCACTGTATTACTTCCTTCTGTTTGCTTTGAGTTTAGTTTGCTCTTTTTTTCCAGTTCAAGGTGAAAACTTCGTTGATTTTTAAACCTTTTTCCATCTTCCAGTACAATCATTTAATACTGTAGATTTGCTTCTATAAACATTGCTTTAGCTGTCTTCCACATATTTTGATATGTTTTGTTTTCATACTCATTCAATTCAAGATATTTTCTAATTTTCTATGTGATCTCTTATTTGACCCATGGGATATTTAGAAATGTGTTTAATTTCCACATATTTGGGGATTTCACAGATTTTCCTTTAGGTGATTTCTCATTTAATTCCACTGTAGTTCAAGAGCATATTTTGTATAATATCAATCCTTTTAAATTCTTTGAGACTTAGGCTGGGCATGATGGCTCATGCCTGTATTCTCAACACTTTGGGAGGCCAAGAAAGGCAGATCACTTGAGGTCAGGAATTCAAGACCAGCCTGGCCAACATGGTGAAACCCTGTCTCTACTAAAAATGCAAATATTAGCTAGGTGTATACCTGTAGTCCCAGCTTCTTGGGAGGCTGAGACAGGAGGATCACTTGAACCCGGGAGGTGGAGGGTGCAGTGAGCCAAGATGGTGCCTTTGCACTCCAGCCTGGGCAACGGAGTGAGACTTGTCTCAAAAAAAAAAATTATATGAAACTTGTTTTTATGGGCCAGTCTGGAAAATGGTTCACTTATGGTGTTTACCATTAGCTCTTGGAGGGTGCATTTTGATTCATGATACAACTTAATGATCCCAGCTGAGGCTGGGGGTACAAGACAAGTTGAGATAGGGAGTGTTGTAAAACGGTTTAGGGCATGACCTTTGGATCTAGAACCAGACTGCCTGGGTTGGAATGCTAGTTCTTCTTCCTTGAAGCTGTGAAGCTCTGTGACCTTGGCCAAATCAGTTCATCTCTCTCTGCTTTAGTATCCTCATCTCTGGAGCTGATAGTAAAGGTATGTTCCTTAGGGAGATATTGAAAATCTGAAATGAGAAACATGTAAACAGCTTGTACAATGTCTGGCAACGCAGTAAGAGCCCCCAAAGTATTCGCCATTGTTATTGCTCCTGTTATTATGGCAGCAGTTCTATTTCTTGGTCTCACGGGCCTTTCAGATAAGCTTTGTCTGGCTACTTGGATAGTTTTTAAAGGATTAGTTCCCTTATTTTTCATGTTTATTATGTACAGAAGTTCAGATAACTTTCATTTGGGTGTTTGTGGTCCCCCTGCATAGGGGAAAACAGAAGTTGGAAAAATCTTTAAAACCCACACTTTCAAAATACTGTGATTTAAACTCTAACCAAGAATTTGACTCCTGCTAGTTTTCAGATTTCCTCTGAAAACATTCTCAGGCTTGGCAGAAAGGGAGGAGGATAGAGTCCAGCACCCTTTATAGCTACCAAATAACAATAATTTTTTCCAATGTATGACTTTAAAATTTTGATACTCATTTTTATGAATGTACCAATTTTGTTAGGATTGATTAGAAAATTTATAAATCAGCCAGGGCATCTCATTTTTATTTCAGTTTCTATTGGTTTTTTTTTCCCCTCCTGGAGTCCAGGACAGGACAGCAGGACTCCAGATGAAAACTCCATTGGGCCCGGTGCGATGGCTCACGCCTGTAATCCCAGCACTTCAGGAGGCCGAGGCAGGTGGATCACGACGTCAAGAGATCGAGACCACCTTGGTCAACATGGTGAAACCCCGTCTCTACTAAAAATACAAAAAATTAGCTGGGCATGGTGGTGCATGCCTGTAATCCCAGCTACTCAGGAGGCTGAGGCAGGAGAATTGCCTGAACCCAGGAGGCGGAGGTTGCGGTGAGCCGAGATTGCGCCTTTGCACTCCAGTCTGGGTAACAAGAGCGAAACTCCGTCTCAAAAAAAAAAAAAAAAAACAAAAAAAACCTCCAAGACATCGTTTGATGTCAGTCTTTTTAGAGAAGCAAAAGGGAAGCTAAAGATCAAAGACCTTAGTCATTGATCCTTTGTATATGCTTCTGAAAAATAAGGATATTAAATATTCTTGTTGTTGCTAAGGCCAGAAGAATCTTCTTCAGACAGCTGAGTGTCTGCTCTCCGGAGAGAGTTTGCACAGAGAGACTCTTACCACTGAACAGGTTTCTCCTGTCTCTGTTCATCTATTTCCTCATATGTAAATTAGGGTAATAAAAGTTACCTATCTCAGAGGGTGATAAAGTTTCATATCATGGCACTGGGCACATAATGAATATTTAACAAATATTTGCTGTTATTGTGGTTGTTATTTACGTTTAGTTTTTGGATAGAGAGGCCTGTAATCCCAACACTTCGGGAGGCTGAGGTGGGCAGATTACTTGAGGTCCAGAGTTCAAGAGTAGCCTGGGCAACATTTTTACTAAACCCTGTTTCTACTAAAAATACAAAAAAATTAGCTAGGCATGCTAGCACATGCCTGTAATCTAGCTAGTCAGGAGGCTAAGGCAGGATAATCTCTTGAACCCGGGAGTCAGAGGTGGCAGTAAGCCAAGATTGTGCCACTGGACTCCAGCCTGGGTGACAGAGTGAGACTCTGTCTCAAAAAAAAAAGAGCTTCCAAAGTATGTGCTATGGGACATAAGACCTGTTAAGTGCTATAAGAAAAAAGAGGAAGAGAAAAAGGATAACTTTCATGGGAAAATATATTATGAGCTTCGTAAAGCTCTCTATTTAAGCCAGAAAAAAGTAGGGAAATTAATCGTGCTTAGCTAAGCACTTACCAAACCTACTTGTCCATCACTGCTTTTAAGTTGCTGAAGGAACTTTTGTTTTGTAGAATCTGCTTGGGAAACACTAAGAATTTTCTTTATCGATACTAAAGTTTTCCAGACGTTAGCCTATTGGCATCTTTATGTTTTAAGGCATTAGCCCAGCCATTACTACCTTTGTCTCAACCATTTCTGTTCCCTCTGAGTCACTAAATCTTTAGTGTAATCAAAGCACTTTAATGCTGGCCTCCTAAAGAATTTTGCCTGCTTTCCAAATGAGGATGGATGAGACCAAGGGGGAACTTGGAATTTAAATACGACCTTAGTGTAAACATGTATTTATAACATAAGGGAAAAACAGCGACAAAGTCTTTTTCAAGGGGTTGTGGCACTTGCATTACATGACTGTTGTACAACAAATTGCCTTTTACATTGAGCTGATGTGTAGTAGCCATGTTTAACATGGTGCAACTAGAATTCTGCACAGATTCTGAAGTCAGTCTCCCCTGTAGAATTGTTAATAATTTTCCTTACTCTTCTCATTGACTCATTCCTCGGTTGAAGAATTTATAGTGAGTCCCATGACCATAGTAACGTAACTTGTTATTAACACTCTGCCTACTAGATCACATTCATTCAGGCTGGGGGCGGTGGCTTACACCTGTAATCCCAACACTTTTGGGAGGCCAAGGTGGACAGATTACTTGAGGTCAGGAGTTTTAAGACCAACCTGAGCAACATGGTGAAACCCTATCTCTACTAAAATAATTAACCAGGCATGGTGGCAGGTGCCTGTGATCTCAGCTACTTGGGAGGCTGAGGCAGGAGAATCGCTTGAACTGGGGAGGCGGAGGTTGCAGTGAGCGGAGATCACGCCGGTGCACTCTAGCCTGGTCAATAGAACGAGACTGCATCTCAAAAATAAAAAAGGTAACATTCATTGAGAGCTTAACCTTATAAGATATATATCATCACCCTCATTTTACAGGTGAGAACATTGAACACTAGAGAGGCTAACTTGCCTAAGGTCACATGGTTTGCAAAGGACAGAGTCAGCATTTGCTGCAGAGGCTGTGTCCTTAACGGTTCTGTATCACAAGGCACTTCTGTCTGTTCTGCATGTTTCATTAGCCTTGTTCTCTTTATTGTCTTAGGTGTTGCTCCCTCTCAAGCTGGCCTAATTTGGGACGTTTCCAACTTCTTACCGTTCTATGTGCCATTTTTTTGTGCTTAAAATACATCCTTTTTCTTTTTTTTTAACCAGTCTTCTGAGAAAGCTTCCGTAGTTTACCTTGCCCAGCTCTTGATGTCTTTCTTTGGATCTTGGCTCATTTCCACAGTGCTTAGATAGTCATTATTCTTTGAAAGGAATTTAGGTGCCTCTTTTTTTTGTGTTTAAGATGGAGTCTCCCTTTGTTGCCCACACTGGAGTGCAGTGGTACGATCTTGACTCACTGTAACCTCTGCCTCCCAAGTTCAAGCGATTCTCTTGCCTTAGCCTCTTGAATAGCTGGGATTACAGGTGCCTGCCACCATTCCCGGCTAATTTTTTTTGTATTTTTAGTAGAGATCGGGTGCTGGGATTACAGGCGTCCTTTTTATATGTTAACTCAATATAGAGAATTTCTATCAATAATTTTACTAAAATAGGTGATTATTTCATGAAACCAATTCTTAATTTAAGGACATTTCAGCTTAGGATACTTTCCACTCTTCCCTTGTCTTTGAACCGACTGAACATAGCTTCTTTATGTCATACTGAAGAACTAACTCTGCATCTTGTTATATGGAGATGATTGAGACCTGCTGGCATGAGTACGTTCATAAAACCTCATCCTCTGCTTCAGCTTGTTATTGCTTATCCAACCTTTCTGGTCTCAGTAGAGAAGGTATTATTTCTCCTTTCTAAAGCTAATCCTTTTTGTTTTCTGTAGAATCTTGCCTGCATAGTCATTTCCCTCCTCCTCTGGTTATCATTTATCTTTTCCTCTCTAAGAAGGTCTATTTTTCCTGTCTTCAGAATGGAAGAAGTCCCCCCACCCCCCCACCATCCTTAAAAACCTGTAAACAAAGTCACTCTGTTGACATTGCCATTCAATTTCTCTCCTATCTTCTGTTCAGCTTCTGTAGAAAATTACATAAACTCACTATTCCCACTTTCTCTTTACCTGCAATTCTGTTGAAACTGCTGTAAAAGATCACTTGTAATCTCTGTTAAATCAAATAGCCTACTCTCAGCCCTCATGTTCTTCTGCTGATGTTGAGAGGGGTAATGTGGTGTAATAGAAGCATGGACTGTTGGAGCCATACCTACTCACATTCTGTTTTTGTCACTTTCTGTCCATTTAACCTTGGGCAGCTTTCTTGTATCTTGCTGCCCCAGTTTGCTCAGCACATGTTCTCAGCATTTAACTGTTTCTTGTTGTATCCCCAAAATGATCTTTTCTCAGCTCTCATCTCTCCCTGTAGTAACTCCTTATTTCCTTATAACAGAGTCAGCTGTTCAGGAGAGTGAAACCGAAGATTGAGTGCTGAAAGGAAATGTTTTACTATCAAAGAGAGAACCCAGTCCAGTACAGAGTGGAGGCTCTGGGAGATGAGGTTTGAAGGAGGGAAAAATGGATAGGTCTTCTAAAGTGAAAAGACAGCTGAGCTCCTCAGTTCCATATTAGGAAGGTGGAGTGTCTGGATGTTGCTGATTGGTGGTGCTGTTTGGGCTTGCTGTTAAGTAAGCTTTAGCCCAGGTGGTGGTGATCTGTGTCAAGGGTTCTGCCTCAAGTTGGGACTTCTAACTGCCTCTGCTACATACATGAGTGCCTAAATTGGTATTTTGGTGCCCAGATAATCCACCACTGTTAGTAGGCAAGGTAGGTAGGTCTAGGTTTGAGTTTGTCATAACCCATGGAAATTTTGACTTTTGCCCTGCTTTTATTCTCTATCCAGTGAGTGTGTCATCGGAGATAGACACACTGGACAAAGAGAGGTCCCATTAATTCTTTTAAAAGACAGTTTGTGACTATAGCACCTCCTCTTTCCACTTCTTACTAACCTAGGCTTTATCACCTCATGCCTAGATTGTCCTAAGAATCTTACTTGTTCTCCTGGCTTCTAGTCTCTTCTGCCCACTTTATCTACACTGAATATTTCTGCCTGATTAATCTTCCAAAAATATTATATCACTCTTATGATTTATACTCTACTAGTGAATAAAAGTAATGTTTTCAGGTGACATTAAAATTCCAGCAAATCAAATCCTGCTGACAAACCCTGACTTGAACTACACCATAATTTAACACCTCTGTAAGCAGAAGCTGACCTTGCAGATAGTCTCTCTGGAATTCCACTCTTGCCTAAGACAAGTGACACTTGCTCCTGTTGATATTTCTGTGTACCTTTGCCCTGTTCCTGGAGGGTTAAGATCATGACCTTTATTCTTTTTGGATTTGTTTTTTCGCCTCCACTCTCTTTTCGCTCTACCAAGCTAAACTCCTTTGAGGTGCTCAAGAAACAGATGCTCTTTAGTGTTTCATAACTCACAGGAAAATTTTTCTCTGAATACGTCAGGTCTGTTGGATAACAAATTCATTTAACTGAATTGGAGCTGCTTTTGCCATAATCTCCTTTTTAGTGTGTTACACTTGTTTTTCCCAACTAAATAATTGACTGGATTGTATAGTTTTTCAATTATTAATCTAGTAAAACCTTTTTAAAGTTTGTGAAAATTGTTCTGGATCAAACTGACCTCATTTAAGTTTGGATCTCTTCTCTCTCTTTTTTTTTTTTTTTTTGAATGAGTTTAAGGTGTTAGTAATTAAGATTCTATTTGTGTTTCTAAATATAATGACTATCCAGTAGACTTAAGGTAGCATCATATAAGGAAAGGCACACTGAGAGAGGGACTGGAGATGGGGGAATGTCTACCCTTTAACATTTGTCCCATTCCATCTGCAATTAAGCTTTCTAGAAATGTCTTGTTACAGTAGCTTCTTAAATGTTTTTAAATTGTCTTTTCAAGTGAATAGGGCTTGGAAGTTTGTGACTGTTTCCTGTGTGAAAAACAATGTCAAAAGTTTTAAGAATACCAGGCATGGTTCACGCCTGTAATCCCACCATGTTGGGAGGCCAAGGCTGAAGGATCACTTGAGCCTAGGAGTTAAAGACCAGCCTAGGCAATATGGCGAAACCCTATCTTTACAAAAATTACAAACAAAAAAATTAGCCTGGTGTGGTGGCATGTGCCTATGGCCCCAGCTACTTGGGAGGGTGAGGTGCGAGGATCACTCGAGCCCAAGGAGGTGAAGGCTGCAGTGAGGTGTGATCACGCCACTGCACTCCAGCCTGGGCGACAGAGTGAGACCCTATCTCAGAAAAAAAAAAAAAGAAAGAAAAAAAAGGTTTAAGAAAACCATTGTTATTTAAATTGGGCTCTTTGAAAAGTAAATTCTACTATAAAACTTATTCGTAGTATTATTTGTTAAATTCTGTATCTAACTGCAGAACACAAGCTTTTGGTATTTAGTATAAGTGAAAAACAGCTAGATCAGACATCACAAACACTTCTTTGTCTTTTGCTAACGTGTCCACCAGAATCCTATGTTCCATTAAAAAAGTTTTTAGCCATTGCACTCCAGCCTGGGTAACAAGAGTGAAACTCTGTCTCAAAAAAAAAAAAAGTTTTTAGTCTTATTTTAAAAACTCAAATCACACAAAAATGTAAGATAGTCCCATTTTTAATACAGGTAGTTTTGTGATATATAGGTCTTCAACTTTCTTCTTCCTAACAATTTTTTATTCTTTTAAATTTCTTTGTGATAGAGTAAATTATACAAACAAAACACAGTGACTGTCATAAAATAAATAGGTTAATTCACCCTACTCTATTTCGGTTTTTTCATCTGTACAAAATGGATATCATAATGGAAAGCACTTAGGACAGTGCTAGACACATTACTCATAAAAGATTGCTGTTACTGCTTGGAAGAGGAAATCATCAGCCTATATAGATGATAACTAAAGACACGAGAGTAGACAGTATTGCCCAGAGATGAGGTGTGGAGTAAGAAGTAAAAAGAGCTGATGACAGAACCCTGATGGGCAGAGGAAAAGGAGAAGGGGTTAGGTGCAGAGAGCAGGCAAGAAATCCAGTAGGATGTCATGGGAGCTGGATTAAAATTGTTTCAAGAAAAGATAGTGGCTGCAGTTGACAGCTCCTGCAAGCGGGGGAATACCAGGTAAGATCCTGACTGAAGTGTTACTAGATTAAGCAACAGTAGGATTGTTGATGGTCTTGGGGAGAGTAAATTCCATAGAGTGTTGGGGAGAGAAGGCATAGTGTGTCAAGGAGATACCAGTGAAGACAACAAATACAGCCAGATCCCCAGGTTTGGTAGCCCTATATGAACTGGCCTTTCTTCCTTTGGTTCTCTGTCCTCCTCTTCCCCCATCCCACCCCTACCACGAACATACTCTCCATCTCTCACAGACACCTTTGGGAAATATGCTCTCGTTCTTGCTTTTTCTTTCTGTCTCTTGCACTTATGCTCACTCTTGCTCCCTCCTCTCTACCCCAACTGAACTGCTTGACTACTTTGTGATCTCCCAGCAGGTCACACTGTCAAATAGGCCTCCTTGCTGAGTTCCTGCACCTGTCTGTGCCATGGCTTAATTTGGTAACTTGTTTACTTCTTTTGTCTCCCTATTAGGCAATTCCTGGTGGGTGGCAGGGGCTGAGTCTTTATCATGGAGTGCCAGTACCTAGCACAGTCTCCATGATGTGGTGATACATAAGAGAGGATGGAACAGTGACCAGAGGCATTTATTCTAGTTGGAGCTTGTAACAGACATTAGATACTGCAAGATGATGGAGTGATTGGTTTGTATTTTAGATGTGTTGAATTGGCTGGGCTCAGTGGCTCATGCCACCCAGCACTTTGGAGGCCAAGGCTGCAGATCATGAGGTCAGGAAATTGAGACCATCCTGGTTAACATGGTGAAACCTCATCTCTACTAAAAACACAAAAACTTAGCCGGGCATGGTGGCACTCACCTGTAGTCCCAGCTACTCAGGAGGCTGAGGCAGGAGAATCTCTTGAACCCAGGAGGAGGAGGTTGCAGTGAGCTGAGATCGCACCACTGCACTCCAGCCTGGGGGACAGAGTGAGATTCTGTCTCAAAAAACAAACAAACCAAAAAAAACAGATATGACTGTAGCATATGCAGGTAGAAGTGTGCCCCGGAGGCATTGGAGACTTGCTACTGAAAGTCAGTGTGTCTTAGAAATCCCTGCTTGCTCTGGGACTCAAGAAACTTTCCTTTTTCAACTTTTTCATCATCCCAGACAGAAACTGTAGTTTGTCCTGATAGTAATGGATGAACTGTGATTTAAACTGTTAGGCTCCTGTTTGCTTGTCCATAGAACTGGATTTGTCACTAGGAGAGTTTAGTTAGTCCCCTGGAAATAACTAAATGTCAATCTGTAGCATTCATTTTTTTAAGTCATTGGAGATTTTCTTCTTGAAGTCTAGATTTTGGAATTGTATGGATGCTTTTAAAAGATTTTGTTTCTAGAATCGTTTCTAAAGCTATAATCAGCATTAAATGGCAGGGAATAACCTTTTAATGAAACTGATACAGTAAAAACCAGTACTGTTACAGGTTAATATAAAAATTGTTATTGTAAAATGTATAACCAGCAACATACTGTGGCTCCTGTGTTAAACACTGCAGTATGTTATGTATAACATAACATACAAATTAAAATTTACCATTGAACTGTTTCTAAGCATACAGTTCAGTAGCATTAAGTACTTTCACTTACGTTCTGTGCAACCATCACCACCATTTCTAGACCTTTTCCATCATCCCAAACAGAAACTCCGTATGCATCAAACAAAAACTGCCCATTCCCCTTCTCTCCAGTTCTGGCATCTGCTATTCTGCTTTTTCTTCCTATGAATTTGCCTAATCTAGGTCCATCATAGAAGTAAAATTAAAACAATATTTGTCATTTTGTCTCTGGTTTATTTCACAAGGCATCATGTTTTTGAAGTTCATTTATGTTGTAGCATATATCAGAATTTTCTTCTTTTTTGAGGCCGAATTTGATGGGATGGCTGTATCACATTTTGTTCATTTCATTCACCGATAGACACTTGGGTTGCTTCCACCCAACCCATCCCATTATTCACAACCCATTATTCAAGCTATTGTGAAAATTGGTGTATAAGTATGTTTGAGTCCTTGCTTTCAGTTATTTGGGGCAAATACCTAGCCTTTATTAAGTTTTTTGAGCACACATCCTGAGAGGGTAGATATTCAGTAGCATTTTTCTTACGAAATGATCATTTCAACCAGCATGTTAACACAGATTTTTGCACTTGTACAAGGTACAAGTAGTAAACAAAATAGTTACTTAAGGCTGGACTCAGTTACCAAATTAAGGAGATTTACTTACCATTTTAAGGAGATTTATTTTGTACAAGTTCTAAAGCAGTCTTGGACTGTGATACAAAGATATCTTCAAAAGCTGCGTTATAACTTTTTTCTGTAACTGAGTCCCTTGGCCAAATAAAAATGCGTAAACCACTTTATCCAGCTTGTACCTATTGGCTTTGTCTGAGGAAACCAGTTGCCTAATTTTTTTCCCTGCCTTATGTTTGTTACAGCCAGTATAGGGCTGTTTCCAGCTGCACTGTTTAACACAGGAGCCACAGTATGTTGCTGGTTGTGTGCTCAAATCATGATAAAATGTGCATGCTTTTGAAACTATAATGTGAGAACCCGTCTTAGAAGATAATTCGTAGGAAAAAGTTAAAGCATATTGCCATCAAAGCCTTTAATGTCTTCTTTCTGTTTGACCCCCCCTCCACTCCCCCCATAAATCCTTTCTTATCTGTCCTAGGCAATAAGATGTATTTGAAAAGAAAATTACTCCAGATTATCTTTACTGCCTTGAAGACTAATACCTTTCTTTTGTATGAATTCGCCCAGTCAGCAGATTTTGTATCTCTGATGGAAGTAATCATTTTTTCATTGTACTAGTTTTGATAAAATATAAAATATTAACAGGTAGTGTATTTTATATATGTTCTTCCCATGAAGTATTTTGTGATAATGCAGGGATAATATTTTGATATATTTGTGGAGATGGGGTCTCCCTATGTTGCTTAGATAGGTCTTTTGAACTACTAGGCTCAAGCGGTCTTCCTGCCTCAGCCTCCCAAAGTGTTGGGATTACAGCTGTGAGCCACTGAGTCCAGCCTTAAGTAACTATTTTGTTTACTACTTGTACCTTGTACATAAATGGTTAAATTTAATGTATTAAATTTGTATTTAATAAGATACCTATTCTGTTACTAAGCTTGGAATTCATCTTTGTTTTTTTTCCTTTAAAATATGGGGAAATGTGGAAGAGAATTATTGCAAACGTTATAATGTTAGACTAATTTTTTTTAAGATAAGGATACAAATTGAGTTCTATTTCAGTATATTTCCATAAAGGGAAAAACAAGCATTTCTTTAGGCATGGAATACAAGTCATTTTTTTTTTAAGAGATAGGGTTTCACTGTGTTGGCCAGTCTTGTCTCAAACTCCTAACCTCGTGATCCACCTGCCTTGGCCTCCCAAAGTCTAGGCATGAGTCACCACGCCTGGCCGCATATAAGTTTTAAATCTGAAATTTTGGATAGCAAAAAAATTCTAACAACTTTTGGTGTTTTGTGATCTGTACGAATTACATGTGAGAAGGTGTTTGCATACCCAGAGCTTGTGGGTACAGGTAGAAGGCCAGGAGTTTCCAAAATGTGGCTCATGGACCATGGGTGATTCCTGAGACCCTATCGTGGAGTTTATAGGGTCAGACTGTTTCATAATACTACTAACATTAATTGTCTTTTTCATTTTTGCACCTTTTTTCTCATGGTGGCAAAGCAGTGGAGCGGGGGTAAAACCTCTGGTGCACCATCACCTGAATCAAGGCATTGGCACCAGGCAGTACTGGTAATCATGGTATTTCTCCACCACCAGGCACATGCCATTTACTCTTAGAATATTCTTGATGAAGCAGTAAAAATTTCTTTTGTTAAGTTTCAGCCCTTGAGTACACTTCGTTAAAAATTTCCACAAAGCACTTCTACTGTATACAAAAGTACATTGGTTAGCTTAAGAAAACCACGTATGCAGTCATTTGAGATGCTAACTGTACTAAATTTTTTTAAAAATCGGAATATCATTTCTACTTGAAAGAATGACTGATGGACATATTTGGGAGATAGTTTCTCAAAAACCGAATAAAGTGAGCCTGTCACTTAAAGGGAAAAGAAGTGTTTTTACCAGTGATAAAGTTTGAGCTTTCAAGTTAACATATAATTTTTGAAAATTTGTATTTACCACCATAAGCCCCAAGAATGATACTAACATACGATTTTTCAGATACTATATAATGAAAAGAGACAACATCTGGAGGAGTGGCATAACTCAGCAAATCAATACCTTCCAGATTACCAGTGCATGTTACAAAATCATCCATGGGTAATACGTTCACACAGAGTTCAGGATCATCCAGTGGATTTTAATGTACTATAGTAAAATCCAAAAAGATCCATTGATTAATTTCAAATTCCACATTGCAGTAAACCTTTAAGAAATCGCCACTTGTTGAATTTAATGTGGTATCAAAGAAGAATATTGATAGTTATCTGAAAAGGCTATTAAGTACTCCTTCTTTTCCAACTATCTATCTGTGTAAAGCTGGATTTTTTTCCCCTATAGAGTTGAGTTCATGCAACATATGGTGGTAGATGGAATGCAGAAGCCGATATGAGAATCCAGCTATCTTCCATTTAAGCTAGACATTAAAGAGGTTTGCAAACATGTAAAGAATGTCCCTTGTCTCAATTTTTGTTTGTTTGGGAAATATCTGCCCTTTTAAAAATGTTATTTATGTTAACATGTAATGGTTTTATTATATATAAATTAACATTTTAACTTTTTCTCGGTTTTAATTTCTAATATAGTAAATATCACTAACCCACATGTACTAAAGCTCTTTGCGAGTCCTCGGTTTTAAGAGTGTAAATTGTTGTGCAACCACGAAGTTTGAGAAGTGCTGGTCTAAGGCAGTGTCTGTGCAGTACTAGCATAGTAGTTGCTTGGTTTTGGGGTGGACAAGAATGCTTTCATTGTATAGCTGGAAGGCTGTCACATAGAACACGTCACAGAACAGTACTCTCTGTGTCTCAGTTTGGCATGATTTTTAGCAGGCTATGTGTTAGAAGCACTTGCTGGTAAAGCAGCTAGAAATAGATGTTCAACTGTCAAGCACTTACTAAAATCCAGCATGGTTCTGAAAATCTTAGGGTTTAGAGTTTAGTCTTTTATATGAGAGACATTTAGCTCTTTGTCTGTTAAGGTAAAGGTTTGGAGGAATGTAGTTAAAGAATTAGTGGTCTTTGTAATGAATTTATAAAATATTTCAACTGAACAGCTGGCCTGTACTGTTATATCACTTGACAGAGACTTCAAGTCTGTTTTCAATACATTTGGCTAACCTGATTTTGGCATGTCTTAAACGCATGTATTTAGTTTCTTTCTGTGTTTCAGTAAGAACTCCTTTATCTCAGTAGTTCCTGTCTTTCATGTCCATCCAGAGCCTCTGGGAACAGACACCTCAGTAGGAGGGCCTGAAGAGTGACACGTTTCTGTTGATGCTTTGGTAGAGTCTGAGATGTAGGATGGGGAGAGACTGTGAAATAAGATTGTTGGGCTTTGATTTCCTATTATTGGTCAAACTTGCCCACCCTTTTTCCTTGGAATACCTTTTCTTCCCTGCCTACTCCATTTATCATAGTCTTACCCCAGAGCCCCAAACCCCAGCTCCTGTAGTAAAATCTATGTGTATTTCTGAAGTACTGATGAAGGCTTTCATTCTTTTTGTGGGCAAAGAGCAGAACAGAGGATGATACAAGAGGGGCCTTCTTCCTCCCTGTCATTACCAGCAGTGAAAACCTTCAGATATTTTTGAAACCGCTCTGTGCTCATTTTTATGAGTGTATAGAGTAGGTGAAAAGTGAGCCCACTTCAGGAGACCAAGGGCATAAACAAATATTGGATAAAGCAGTCTAGCAGAGGGAAAATAAAGAGTTCGTAAGTTAGCCTTAGGGCTGGCCACAGTTTTTAAACAGACCCACAAGAAGAATTTCCCATGGGTTGAATAAACCAACCAGAGTTGCTAGACAAGGTAAGATGATGGCATATATGTCTGCTGGTATAATATAAGATTTATATTAAGCCATTTTTAAATCTGTAAATATTGGGTGATTAAAAGAGGAAAATATCAGTTTCAGTCACCTGGAAACAGGATCATCTTTGGCAGTGCCTATTTACCTGTATTATGGCAGTGATGAGCAAAATGAAAGATGGAAAGAGTATTTTTGGTAATATTTCTCTTTTTTGAAAGCAAAACACAATATAAAAATACAGGCTCTTTTTTTTTTCTTTTTAAGACAGGATCTTCCTCTATCACCCAGGCTGAATCAAGTGCAGTGGCACGACCATAGCTCACTGCAGCCTCAAACTTGTGCGCTCAGGGGATCCTCCTACCTCAGCCTCCCAAGTAGCTGGATCTATAGGAGCACCCCACTGTGCCTAGCTGGTTTCTTTCTTTCTTTCTTTCTTTCTTTCTTTCTTTTTTTTAATAGAGTCGGCATCTCATTTTGTTGTCCAGGTTGGTCTTGAACTCCTGGGCTCAAGCAATCCTGCCACCTCAGCCTGCCAGAGTGCCAGGATTACAGGCATGAGCCACCATGCCAGGAATACAGGTGTGAGCCACCACACCCAGCCAAAACCTAGACCCTTGAAAAATAAAAATTAATTGGGCCTTCAAGTTTATCTGGGCCCAAAGAGGATTTTATGGATACTAGAAAGATATGAAGGATTGCCCAAGGAGGATTACATAGCTAGTTACTGTATAATTACAGATAGAAACTTCAGTTTGTCATTCAGTTTTGGGCAGATATTGAAGTCAATTTGGGATACTCTGGAATTAGGCCACCTAAGATCAGAAGTGCATCTGGCTTTTGATCTTAAAAAAACGGTAATAATCACAGAGATTAACAGTTCTCCAAACCCCAAAATGAAAACTCAGAGTTTTTCTCTAATTCATTTGGCAGCAAAACCTGGCCTAAATTGATATGAGGCTATTTATTATCTTTATTTATCCTGTTTAGTGTGAATATTCATGTTTTACTACAGAAATATTAGTATTTGATTACCAATTACTGCTCCAGACTGCAATGGGGGTGTTTTCTTTGTAAAACTCCCCAAAATTCTGAATCGTATTTGTTCTCGAGGCATTATTTTTGGATAAGGACTTATAGACATGTACTTACCTTGTAAAATGATGTGAGAATTAAATGCTTAGTAAAATGTTAGGTATTACTGCTATTAACCACTAATATAAGTCTAGAACCCCAGTTTTGAAATGTAGCATGAGTATCTTTCTATAGAGATGTATGTCAGTGCTGTCCACTAGAACTTTTCATGATGATACAAATGTCTTTATTTGGCCATCCAATACAGTAGCCACTAGCTATAGAACACTTGAAATGCAATCAGTGCAACTGAAAAAATTTTAATTTAAGTATAAATAGCCACATACGGCTGGTGGCTGCTTTATTGAACAGCACAGTTTGGTATAATTCGAGTTCATGTTCCATTCAAACTTTAGTTTTGCTGTCTTTGTAGTCACTACTAAGAATACAATGTGGACCCAGCAGATTATTTATTAGCTAAGACAGCTATTAATACTAAGAGAGGAAGAACTTCATTTTTGTTTTGGTTTGTTTGTTTTGAGTTGAAGTTTTGCTCTGGTGCCCACGCTGTAGTGCAATGGTACGATCTCAGCTCACTGCAACCTCTGCCTCCTGAGTTCAAGTGATTCTTCTATCTCAGCCTCCCGAGTAGCTGCGACTACAGGCATGCGCCACCATGCCTGGCTCATTTGTTTTATATTTTTGTAGAAACAGGGTTTCACCATGTTGGCCAGGCTGGTCTTGAACTCCTGACTCAAGTAATCCACCTGCCTTGGTCTCCCAAAATTCTGGGATTATAGGCATGAACCACCGTGCCCAGCCGCAAGAACTTGTTTCTAAGTACATCCTAGGCTTAGCCTCAGCTAATATTTCCTTCTGTCTCCAGGGCTTTTTAAAGACATAATGGTAAAGGGTACACATTTCTCCTTGAACCTGACTAAGGCAACCTGTAATGACCTCAACTTAGGTAATTAATAAAATATAATGCATCTACGCCAAAAAGTCCCTAGTCTTAGAGAATTCAAGTGGCAGAAATTTCCCTGGTAAATGGGGAAAAAGAAAACTTCATTACGAAGTTGTTGCCGGATGTCAACATGTTTCTGCCAACATGTTCACGTTTGTTAAACAGATGTTATTTTCCAAAAGTAATTTCTGTATACGTCTAAAATGTAATATGATGTGCAATATCGATGTTTTTGTAACTCCCCTAGACTAGATAGGAGTTGTCAGGGTACATCTGCTAAAGTGCAAGATGCAATCAGTGCAACTGAATTTTTTTCTAATGTCATTTCACAAGGGATTGAATGTTCACCAGCATGATGTGTATATTATCTTTACCTGTGGGATTCCATGTTTTTGCCTTTGATAAAAGGTTGTTAGCAGTGTCCCTATCTTCATTAAATATTAAATTGACTTTAAAAAGGAGGCATGGAGCCGGATGCCATGGCTCACACTTAAAATCTTAGCACTTTGGGAGGACAAGGCTGGAGGATCACTTGAAGCTAGGAGTTTGACACTAGTCTGGGCAACTTAGCAAGCCCCTTGTCTCTACAAAATTTAAAACTAAAAAAATTAGCCAGGCATGGTGATGCACACCTGTAGTCCCAGCTACTGGGGAGGCTAAGATGGGAGGTTTGCTTAAGCTTCTGAGTTCAAGGCTGTAGTGAGCTGTGATCATGCCACTGTGCTCTAGCCTGGGATGCAGAGCGAGACTCTGTCTCTTTAAAAAAAAAAAAAAAAAACAGAGGCAGGCCAGATGCGGTGGCTCATGCCTATAATCTCAGCACTTTGGGAGGCCAAGGTGGATGGATCATGAGGTCATGAGATCGAGACCATCCTGGCTAACATGGTGAAACCGTGTCTCTACTAAAATACAAAAATTAGCTGGGTGTGGTGGCACTTGCCTGTAATCTCAGCTATTCGGGAGGCTGAGGCAGGAGAATTCCTTGAACCAGGGAGGAATTTCAGTAAGCCGAAAATGAAATGAAACAGAGCTAGACTTTGTTTCGTAAAATAAGGGGGGTGGGTAGAGAGAGAGAGGGGCAGACAGGCATGGGCAAAGGCCTCCATTTATTTCTACTGAGGTGTTAGAAACAACAATCTAACTTCCTAATTAGAAAGTTAAATAAGATGAAAGCATGTAAAACATTGAGTTATTGCTGTTGTTAAGGACTCAAAATGGGAATGTTGAGACAATGAGTGGTTAAAAGTTGTGCTCATTGAACTTGGGAAGTTTTCTATTTCTTCTTTTTTTTAAACTTATTTATTTTGAAACGGAGTCTCACTCTGTCGCCCAGGCTGGAGTGCAGTGGCATTATCTCAGCTCACTGCAATCTTTGCCTCCTAGGTTCAAGCAATTCTCCCACCTCAGCCTCCTGAGTAGCTGGAATACAGACACATGCCATCACATTTAGCCAATTTTTGTATTTTTTAGTAGAGATGGGGTTTCACTGTATTGGTCAGGCTGGTCTTGATCTCCTGACCCTGTGATCTCCCAGCTCGGCCTCCCAGTGTTGGATTACAGGCATGAGCCACCATGTCTGGCTCCTATTCTTTATTTTAAAAAAGAGTGCTTTCTGTATTTGTGAAGTTGTCACATCTTAATTTTTCAGTAAAAGGCCAGTAAGAGGAGGCAGGAGGAAAGAGTAGCTCCTGGGTGCATGGTTGAGTTTTTAAAAAGAACAAGTTTTAAGAGAATATGTTTGTTTCCTGTTTTGTAATGTGTATAACATTCTGTACACATGATTTGTATGGAAGGATACACATACCAAATTGTAAACAACGTCTCCTCCTAGGGAATGGAAGTGCAGAGGGGAGGAAGGGGGAGGCACTGTACTTTGCTTTATATACTTGCCCATTTTTGAGTTTTCATAGTGAACATACATTTTTATAATTTTAAAAATAATTGATAGTTCTAAAAATGCAAATTGGCTATAATTTATTTAAATTCATTTTCTGTATTTTATAATGTCTTTTTATTAAAAGGCTTTTTGGAAAACTTTTACAAGGTCAGGCACATAGTGACTCATGCCTGTAATCCTAGCACTTTGGGAGGCTGAGGTGGGTGGATTGCTTGAGCCCAAGAGTTCAAGACCAGCCTGAGCAACATGTGAAACCCCGTCTCTACAAAAAATACAACAATTAGCTGGGTGTGGTGGCACACACCTGCAGTCCCAGCTGCTTGGGAAGCTGAGGTGGGAGGATTGCTTTTGAGTCCAGGAGGCAAAGGTTTCACTGAGCCAAGATTATGCTTCTGTACTCCAGTTTAGGCAACAGGTGAAACCCTGTCTCTAAAAAGAAACAACAACAAAAGCTTTTATAATGATAGTTTGAATTGAAAATAGTATATGAAATTTCAAATAATGTCATAAAATAAGCTATAACTTCTGATTATGTGATATTTGGTACAGTTTGCAAAATTGTTAGAACTTTTTAAGATGTTAGTATGAATTATAAAATACCATGTACAATATTAGGGGTGAACTTTAACCAAATTTTCTTGTATAGGTTTATTTCAAAGCTAAAACAAAACTTCAGTTAGGGGAACCATTAAATATCTGAACACTTTTCTGAAATCAGGCATTTAGTTTGCATTGGGAGACATGCTCATTGCCAGGATATGGAAGTGAGAACTGACAACCTTAATCACACTGTGATACTTTGTGCATGGTCAAGTCTTCAGCTAGAACAGACTATAAAGAAAGTCGTTGACTACAGCCACTCAGAGACTACAGCAAAGCACAGAAGATCTATCAGGAAGGAGGAGCTGGTTTTTTTGTTTTTTTTTTTTTTTAGGTTTTTATAAAGTCACGTTTATTGAAGTATGATTTTACATTCAGTAAAATTCATCCTGTTAAGATTTGACAAATGCATAGTCATACCATAATCAAGATGCAGATTATAGTATCTTGTAGAATCACTCTAATGATTCCCTCCTGTCCATTTACAATCAAACCCCTTTTTGATCCCAAGGAACTCACTGACATGTTTTTCTGTCAAAAGTGTCAAATTTAATCACTAAAATGATCTGCAGTACTATGGAAAATGTATAAGCACATAAAATACACAAACCAATTTTTTTTTTTAAAAGTGAGATACTTTAAAAAGTTTCTTTAGCATACCAACAAAAAAAATGAAGGTAGTATTGCATTTTACTATAGATGTGCAAATATTCCAAGTCCACCATTGTCCTATATATGGCTCAACAGTAATGTTTAAGAATATACTGGGTGGGCATGGTGGCTTGTGCCTGTAATCCCAGCACTTTGGGAGGCCGAGGTGGGTGGATCACCTGACGTCAGGAGTTTGAGACCAGCCTGGCCTGCATGGTAAAACCCCATCTCTACAAACATGAGGCCGGATAATCACTTGAACGTGGAAGGTGGAGGTTGCAGTGAGTCGAGATTGTGCCGCTGCACTCCAGCCTGGGCACTAGCAAGACTCAAAACAAAACAAAAATATGTAAAAATACAAAATTAGCTAGGTGTGGTGGTGTGTGCATATAATCCCAGCTACTCGGGGACCTGAGGCAAGAGAATGATCCCAAGAGGCAGATGGTGCAGTAAGCTGAGATCACACCACTGTACTTCAGCCTGGGAAACAAGAGTGGAGCCTTAAAAAAAAAAAAAAAAAAAAAAAAAAAAAAGACTCATATCTCATAAACTACCAAAAGAAAAAAAGACTATACTGTAAAATAACGATCTTAACAATCTTTAGAGTTAAGTCCTATCTTTGTTGAGTATATGAGCCCTGATTAAGGTACTGCTTTTTGGTATTAACACTGTCAAGTCACAGACCACAGCTGGTTCATAGAAAAACTACTTTAAATAGTGAAATTGAATTCCATAAAAATTTTCTACAGGATCAACTCAACTATAAGGCAGAGACACAAAACTGTCAGGTAATATTCTTATAGATGGTTGGGGCCATCTCAGAATTCACCCTTGCTACCACTATGAAAAGAACAACCAAAAAAAAGCAACCTCTATTTTGTAGATACTAAAGGTAACATATCCAAATATATCTCATCTACTTGAAAAGCTTCACTGATTCTTTCAAGCGCCAGACTTTAAGTTCATCAGCATCTTGAAACTCCACCATGCCCAGTCGCTGCTGCGGTTGAAAAGGAGCTGGCTTTTGTAAATTTAATCCAGGCCAAGCGTGATGGCTCACACCTGTAATCCCAGCACTTTGGGAGGCCGAGGCAGGTAGATCACCTGAGGTCAGGAGTTCAGGACCGTCTTGGCCAACATGATGAAACCCTATCTCTACTAAAAATACAAAAAATTAGCTGGGCGTAGTGGTGAGCACCTGTAGTCCTAGCTATTCAGGAGGCTGAAGCAGGAGAATCGCTTGAACACAGGAGGTGGAGGTTGCAGTGAACCGAAATTGTGCCATTGCACTCCAGCCTGGGCGACAAGTGAAACTCTGTCTCAAAAATGGATGAGTGAATACATAAGGATCCAAAAGCATGCCATTATAGACTACAGCATTGTGTCATGAAAGTTTATTATATATATATATATATATATATTTTTTTTTTTTTACAATGATTAAAGGAAATGTAATGTCCTCCTCCGTATGCATCAGTCTCTCTCTCCTCACTGGGATAATTTCCAGTCAGTATCAGAAAATATCATACTTATTTCTTTTAAAAAAGAAAATGGGCCTGGGCGCAGTGGCTCACATCATGAGGTCAGGAGTTCAAGGCTAGCCTGGCCAATATGGTGAAACCCAATGTCTACTAAACATACAAAAATTAGCTGACATTTTGGCACATGCCTGTAATCTCAGCTACTCAGGAGTCTGAGGCAGAAGAATTGCTTGAACCTGTGAGGTGGAGGTTGCAGTGATCCAAGTGTCGCACCACTGCACTCCAGCCTGGGTGACAGAGCGAGACTCTATATCAAAAAAAAAAAAAAAAAAAAGTTTTAAGACCTTCCTTATCTTTATATTTACCCTCCAGCTACCATTCTCTTCCCTGCCCTTTTCAAAATACTGTCTCCATTTTCTCAGCTTTAACTTCTCAGCTAGTTTCAGTCTGGCTCCATCCTTACCACTGTACTCAGTGGCCACTCCAGTGGTCCATCTTGACCTCTCAGCAGCATTCGTGGTTGGTGATGTCTCCCTCCTAATGCAGTGACTGTCAATTCAGTATTTAATGTGTTATGCTCTTTATATGAATTCATTTAATCCTTTAACAGCTCTTTGAGGTGGATGTTGTCATTATCCCCATTTTACAGATGAAAAGCTGAAGCTTAGAGAGGCTCAGTAACTGGCTTAGCTACTAATAAGTTGTAGAGAGGAAGGGATTAAATTCAGACCCCATTCAGTTCTGCTGCCTTTCTGAAATAACCTGCTATCCTGGGTTTTCCTTCTGTCTCTACTTCATCTTGGTTTCTTTGCAGTTCTTCTTCTACCTGATCTTTAAATTTCAAGGTTTCTCAAGCCTTGGTCCTAGGTCCTCTTTACACTGCTGCAAGGCATTCACACACACCTGTGGCTTCAGTTACCGTGTGGAAGGTGATGAGTTCTCAGTGTATATACATATTCAGCTCAGAACAGTTTCAATATCCAGCTGTCTCCTTAGTACATTCAAACCTTAGTTTAAAATCTGTTCCTCCTGTGTTACCTTTTTTTCCCCCTAAATGGTGTAAACCCAGCTGAGCAGAATCCTAAGGATCACCGCTAATTCTTCCCTCTCTTGGTTTCCATGAACAGTCACCAGGTCCTGTTTATTGCATCCTGTATGTCTGTAATTCATCTTCCTCCCTAAAGAAAGCTTCCCTGTTTTTAGACTGGATCCCCTAATATACATTCTCATAGTACGCTGTACTTCTCTTTCTCTCCATTGTAACATTCTTCATTACTATATTAATTCAGTTGTGTTAATTTTTTTCTTTTCTTTAGAGTGAAATTGTTCATTTCTTTAGAAAAGACATTTAGGCAGAGACCAAGGCATACTTATTTATTACTATACATCCCAGTGGCTAGCAGAGGGCCTGGCACGTAGGCAGTATTAAATACAAAGATTAGTTTTAGGAAAATCCCCGACAAACAAGAATGGGTAATGTAGAGGGTGAACTCATGGAGACAAACTTTAAAACAAGATTTCCAATAGTCAAGCCATAGAAGGGAGCTAACACATTGGCAGTGGGATTGGGAGAAATAGGGCAGTTGGGGATGTGGAAGTAAGAGAAGCAAAGGGCTGTCAAGAATGCAAGAGATTTTTCGCTTTAGCAGCTGAGGGGATGGTAATACCATTCCTTGAGAGGATCAGGTATGACAGAGAGAATATTTGTGTTGGACCTGTTGACGTTGAGGAACCTCCTGTAAGCCATCTGGATGGTGATAACCAATAGGCAGTTAGAAAAATGGAAACGGGGAATTCAGGAGATGCAGGCTTTTCCTCGTCACTGAGTAAAACCAGTAAAATACTATTAGTGGTTCAAATGTAAATGGATAACAGTCGAATTATTGAGACTTTTTGCCATTGGCACAGATTTGGTCAATATTTTGATAATTTTTTAATTGGGGGTGGATATTGTAAACATATACAGAGATGGAATTTTTACATAGATGTCATTTTACATGCTGTAAGTAATAACTAATAATAGCTGTAAACCTATCAATTTATTCTTCATGTTAGACTAGCAGATCTTTATTGTGTTATTTTGTTATTGCTAATTTATACCTATTTTCTTCTTAAAGATAAAAACAAAGCTCAGTGGGGTTTATAGAACTCCATTAGACTGTAAGTTCTGTTAGGACTCACTGCATGTGACTTAAATTTTTTTCCTCTTATTTCTCTAGGGCCTATTCCCTGGTGGATTCCAGTCAAGTGTCTACATTTCTGATTTCCATTCTTCTTATAGTCTATGGTAGTTTCAGGTAAGATGTCCTCAAATGGGGTTTATTTAAGTTGGTGGTGGCAGAAGGAAGCATTGCTCTGAAAGTGCTGGTACCAAAGCTTATTGTGTGAGAAAAACCAGGACTTCGGCAGGAGCTGATTTAGAATAGATAATTCTGGTATTTGTTCTTTAGTTGGCTGCTGTTAAACACTTCTTGGTTTTGCTTATGACTTTAGCATATTAATGCTAACATAGAAAAACTAATTGCTTCAAATGCTAGTTCTGAAAATAATCACCTTAGCACTCTTTATTGAGAAGGTTAAGGAGAGAGTCTTTGGCAGTAATTCTAGATTCTCACAGGGAACAAAGAGTTTAAATGGAAGGACAACTTGAAATATGAAAAAAAAATACTACCAAATATCCATATAATAAAAGGACAAAGAGAAAACTTCATGGGTTTTTTTGTTTTTTTCTAATCAAAAATCAAAGTATAGTCTCAAAGCTTTAGTTGGCTTATGAAGACCAGGGAAACCAAAGTAAAATGTGCCCAGTAGAGTTCTTTATCTTTGGCTGGACACAGTTGCATATGCCTGTAATCCCAGCACTCTGGGAGGTTCGGACAGGAGGATTGCTTGAGCCCAGGTGTTTAAGACCAGCCTGGGCAACATAGCAAGACCCACATTGCTACAAAAAACATTTTTTAAAAAAATTAGCCAGACATGGTGGTAGTGCCTGTGTTCCCAGCTGCTCAGGAGGCTGAGGCAGAAAGAAGAAGGATCACTTTAAGCCCAGGAGATTGAGGATACAACGAGCATCATGTTGCTGCTCTCCAGCCTGGGCAACAGAGCCAGACTGTGTATCAAAAAAAAAAAAAAAAAAAATCTTTATCTTGTCCTAAAATGCTTGTAAGTAGATTATATCCTTGTGGAAATTTACATCACATTTTTCTTAATCCAAAGGCTTGACGTCCAAGGTTGAGCCATACAAAATTGCTGATGATTAACTATTAATATTTTGGCCCACAGAAACAAGTTCATATGGTCCATCCTACTCTTAATGGGGTTGTGTGTTGTAGCATTACCAGGTATTCTCTCTCATAACCTTGGAGATACTGAGACTAGATCATGCTGAGGTTCTCATCCCAGCAGGCAGCCATAGGAATAGGAAAAATCAGGAAACTAGATACACACTCCCTTTTTCCACTAATCTCAGTTAAGAGGAACTTTAATGGTTATATGATTCAGATAGTTCAGTGGCTGATAAACTTACCAAAAAATGCTGCTTGAGGAATTACAAGTTGAGAACTTGAAAGGAAGTAATAGGGTAAGTGAAATACTCAGGCATAAAGATTTTGAACTATCCAGTATTATATCTGAATTGTAATGACTACTTTGTAAAATCACAAACTTGGGGTCATTACCTCGATTCTGAGTAGAACTAGTAAAATACTGTGGGTAATTTCAGTATAAACTGATAAAAGTTTAATCACTGAGATGTCTGTTGAGAGCTCTAGATTCATAACCACACTCAGGAACCATTAATCAAACCAGAGGAATGTAGAACCTTATCAGTGTGATCTTGATATTTTTCATCTCTACCCTGTGGATAGTATCTGATTTTTTCCCCCTTTGAGTATACAATGCATTAACATTTCAAAAGACTTTGCAATTAAACATACAAAAAGGACCAACTTTAGACTCTTACAACCCTAAAACTACTTTCAGTAATGCAGATTACCTTCCATTTGGCATACGTTTATATACTATATACATT